ATCTTTCATTTGTTGTAGAAGCATCTGTGTGCAAAATAATCAAGAAGCACAATGATCTTTAGTAACTTGAAGGCCGAAACATGCTTTTCCAGGCATGATACTTGCTAGAGACATTTACACAGCAGTTTCTTTTGTGCTTTCTACAACATTTTCTATGTTTTAAAACTGCTTCTTGACAGGTATTGGAGCCTAAGTACTAGGTAGCAGTCCTGAGAGATATAATTAATTGTGTAATGAAAAATGTGGAAAGGGTGCTGCTGCACGAGACAAAAACGAGATTAGTTAGGGTTTGTATAAAATCAGATAACATGCTGTTTATGCATGATTTGTCCATGATAATGCACTAATTTTGCAAGTAAAGATATCATCTTTTCAAGCCTTTATGTAAATGTAGTCATTATGAAACTTTAAAATTCTCTTTCTCTTTAAGATCTAGTGTGTTGGCCAAGGCAACAAGGCAAGTCAGATATTTCTGGTAGGCATTGTTCTTGATGTCCTGATAGGAGGAACAGTGTTTACACTGAGCTGTCTGCATATCGATCAGGTGACTGTTTGGGAACTGACTGAAACTCGGAGGCTGAAGGACACACACACATAAAACACACAAATGGTACAAGAGTGACCTTGGTCCCTGTCTCACAGCAAAACTACCCTTGGGAAAATACAGTAGTACAGAACATGAAAGCAGAAATATAATGCCCCCACCTATCTCATTCTCCTGAGTCAAAGAGGAAGTGACTGATTTGTGGGCACAGAGGCATGTGAATAAAGATGTTGTCATACACGTCATAGCCATTGTTGCATTTGTTTGAGTTCACATAGAATATTAACTTTTATTTTCTTGGAATTCATTGAAGAAGGATGCAGCTGTGCTTACTGTTTAACCCATTGACGCAGCACATGTGATTCATACCTGTATGATAAATGTGACCTCTCTAGGGGCATCTTCAGTTCAAGATGATTTATTGCTACAAATGTCACCACTTGTACTGCCAACATATAGTGCTGCATGGTTTACCGATACTAGAAAAGTTTAGATTAAAATGATGCTAAACCCTTTTTTTTTTTAAAAATTTAGTATAGATTCTTTAACTGATAAGCAGTCTTGCTAAAAACAGCATTTCTAGTCCATAACATCAATGTGTAACAGCAGGACAGTGAGTGTTAGCAGCCCTGCTTCCCTGCAGGCAAAGTGGCAACTGCTTTTCCTCTCTGATGGTTCCAAGACCCCCAAAACATGACTGCAAATCCAGGCACTGATGCTGACTGTCCACAGGTTGTGGATAAGGCAGGCACACGAAGCAAAACGTAGCTATTTCACTTCAATAAGCGACAGGGAGGGGAAACCCACATAAAGCCACAAAACCCATCTGCAAAATATGTTTTAAAGTTTCGCAGACCAACAGGTCAACATGTCCAGCTTGGTGAAGCATCTTGCTGACAAACATGTCGACTTATACAAAGATTTCAAAAGGCGACCGGTTAGCGAATGTAATGGAATGTAAAAGTGACACGAGTGCTTCACTTTGTAAGAGACAAATGTTTTTCACAATGTTTGACGAAGTAAGTCGTTAAGAGCAATGATGACTTTATCTGTTTAGCTGACTAACCCAATTGCGAAAACATCTTGGTGTGCATGTGCAGCCCTCACACTGGTAACATTAACTTTTATCATAGCTCACAAGCAGCTAAAAGTCAGGCGTTTGCAGTGTGCATATCAACGACATCAGTTATATTGGTCAATTTATGCTCAATCAGTACTGCTAATGGTGAACATACATGAACATTTTACCTAATAGTTATTTCAATCACTACAAAATGCATGCAGCAGAGCGCAGACCTGCCAAGGTCTGTTCAGACTATTAAACAAAAGAAGTGATATCTGGTTGAAAATTTAAAGGTAACTCTGAAATGAATTATTTATAGGAGACATTTCATTACTGCAGGTTATTGTGAATGTACTAATTATTTGTCAAAAACCTTTATGAAAAAGTAAATAAGAAAACATAATGGGACAAAAACTACAATTCGATTTAGCATGACTATAATACACAAATGACTGACTGTAAGTCTGCCAACTCTGGTGAAGAAGTTCAATCCAGGATCATTAGCCTCCAAACTAAAGTCGTGCACCAAACTAGACTCAACACAAGAGTCAAATCAGTGCAAGCTCTTGGCACAGGACTGAGCTCTGAGTATTTTCTAGTTTTCTATTCAGTCAAATTACATTTACAAATTAAAATTAATGAGAACAGTCACTCGAAGATACTTTACAACCTGCTTTGTTCCAATAAATGTTTATTATTGTAATAAACAAAAAGCCGTAAATTCCTGCAAAAGAGTCAAAGTTTGTCATTAAATTGCCCATTAAGGTTCTTTTTGAATTATTAATAAAAAAAAAAAAAAAAAAGTTTTACAAAGGAGGCAAAGCTTCATGTTCTTATAACTGTATAACTGTATTACATTATATTTTTGTTATTGTGACAACACTACCAACATATCAACACCAACACCACCAGCACACCTGAAATGACAAAGCAAAAAAGCCACAATTGTAAATAGACTTTAGGTTTGGCTCATATGACAGCATACTGTGAAGAAACAGAAAATTGTCAGCAGTAAAAACCAAATGCTGACATGGCAATCTGTTTGATAGCTCTGCTTATATCAGGATTATTACTGGAAATGTTGGAAATTGATAAACAGAAATCCATTCATTGTTAGTCCAAGTATTAGACATGACGACCAGTGTAAATGTGGTTCACGTGAAATATTGAACTGTCATTTTACTATAAATGCCTCTTCTTTTCCTGTTGTTGTGTTTCTTCCCTGTAGCACACACACACACACACACACACACACACACACACACACACACACACACACACACTCATTCCTCTGAAAGAGCATGAAGCGAAGTGATGAATTGCGTCCAAACTTTCCCACCCTTTGGATTGATGTATTTTCTCACGTACTATGTTTGAGTCAGAGGTGATAAGATACAGTTGTTATTTATGTACAGCCCTTGTTCAGGTGGAAGCAAACACATGGAGCCAGAAGAGGAATGACTATATGCAAGAAAGGTTAAAGTAGCTAAAACCAGGTTTTAAATTTACCAATTGTTTGTTCTTGAAAGACACATTAAAAAGTAAATGTAAAGTGTCAGTTTGTGTGGGACTGTTTTACACCCTCTGCCTGTTAATCCTACAGTAGAAAACCCTACACTTATCTTACAGCACTCTGATGAAAAGCCAGTTTTTGTTTCTTTATAGAGTTGATGGATGGTTCTACATGGTTGTCGTTTTCTCCTCTGCAGAAGACAGTGGACATGAAAGTTTGGCGACACAGCAGATACATCTGTGACAATAATATGTTTTAATTTGGTTATGATAATTATAGATTATTTCAAAATACTTTTAATAATGTCCAGGAGAAAAAAAGCTTTATTTTGAATTTAGCAACCTTATTTTGAATATATGTACTATGGCCTACACCGGAGGAGGTTTGTGGTCATGGACAGGGTGATGAGAAACCCAGGTGGCCACAGACTAGTCATGGGGAGAGTGACATAGGGATGCAAGGGCTCCATTATTAATGGGTAGGGAATGATTATTTGCCCACCTCAACTGTCAAAATGTCATTGTTTTTGTGCATCACCAACAGAAAGCAATATTGCGGAGAACCGAGACATATTCTGTTCAAGTATAATGTATTAACCTGCTGTGATTTTCATATTAATAAAAGTACAGAACTGTAACTGCACTGTCATTTGCTGTTAGAATATGAGAAGATCCAAGTGCATTCAGATATGGTTAGCCAGAGAAGGAGCACACTTGCACTTTGTTTATGCAACAGAACTTCGAGTTTGCTTTATGTGCTTTCACAGTGATGTGCATCTAATTTAAGTGAAGCTACTGAACAGTTTTCTCATTGCCATTGAAGAAGTGTCTACATACATACTGCAGCCATTTTATCGTCCAGCCCTAGTGGAAAATTTTTATTTTGAAACAATATTATCATCATTATTAGTAATCACAAGGAGTTTACATGTTCTCCCCCTGTAGCGTGGGTTCTTTCCGGGTTCTCCGACTTCCTTCCGCAATCCAAAAACATGCTCAGGTTAATTGGTGATTCTAAATTGTCTGTAGGCGTCAATGTGACTGTGCATGATTTTCTGTGTCTAACTGTAGCCCTGTGATAGACTGGTGAGGATTAAGCGTTGTATAGATAGTGGATAATGGATAGTTATCACGACCAACCATTTGAGGAATCAACTCACCCTTCAGCTATATTTGCATGGCCGTTCTTAGTTGGTGGAGCGATTTGTCTGGTTAATTCCGATAACGAACGAGACTCCGGCGTGCTAACAAGCTAGCCCTAGCTAGCCAAGCTAGCTAACAACAACAGAGCGAGCCCTTCTCCCAGCCCTGTTTACAACATGTCAGGTCCATAGGTACCATTATTTTCTCAAAAGACACATTGTCAGCTTTTTAACTCTGCCACTGAAATGTGTGACTGCTTTAGGTTTAGACCAGAATAAAGACCTAGCTGTGCTGAAATTGTAATTTATTGCATTGTGGCCAGTCACTGTTTAAATAGTGAATGTGCTCACTCAGTAGTGGTATAGTGTCAACCATCCTGCTAAAGGAAATGGCAATCCATAATGTGGTGTCTGCTTCCACCTGGTGGTTTCTCTTCTCTCTATTTCCTTCTGTACATTCATTCATGTCCCAGTTTTAATTTGAATACTTACCCCCCAGTGTTCTCTTTTCTTCTTATCTAATAGTTAATCCTTGTTCCTCTGTTTTTTGTGGCCTACTTTCCTTTCCCCCCATGTCTGTACTCTTCCAACCTCTCATTCACTCTCCTTTACTCAAGTCCTCATTTTTTTTGTTTGGTCAGGATTTTTTTGCTCTTTTAAATTGTTTTCTTAATGTTTTCCTTTTTATCTGCTACCCTCATCTCTTGTCTACATTTTCTTGTCTGCTTCTTTTTTTCAGGTCTCAGATGACCTGCTTGATACTGGCAGCCAGGGATGGCTACAGTAAGATCATCAACATACTGGTGTCCCACAGGGCAGATATCAACGCTCAGGATAGCAACGGATACACAGTGTGTCACATTTTTTATGTTCAAGAGGTTCCAAATGTGGGGATGTGCACATCGCATTGTAGCTCAGGAGGCACAGTGTAAAGCTTCTGCAATATATAGATAGAATATTTTTTGTCTGTGTAACATTTATAAAAAATAAAAGTTGACCTTTTATTGTAGAACTAATGACAAATATTTTTTTTTGTCAGGCTTTGTCTGTAGCAGTACAGTATGGCAGAGAGGAGGCAGTGCTAAAGCTCCTGCAGCTTGGAGCAGACAAAACCATAAGGACAAAGGCCAGCAAGAGCCCTGCCGACCTGGCTGAGATTTTCAAACACACACAGGTACCTGAAGTGCTTCTTGGATGAATGTAAATGCCACATATCAGTAGTTTAGTGTGTTGGTATTCTAAAGAAAAGGTGTGATACATGATCTTTTAGAAATACAGTATAAAGACGAATGTTGTCAGTGTTAAGTTCTTCCAGAATATAAAAGAAGTGAACATTCAAGCTTGTGTTGCCTAAATCTCAGTCTTTTAAAACTTAAGTGGCATTCGCTTGTTTTGTGCTTTGCTTTCCTGGCAAAAACATTCCTGTGATCTTAAAAATGCTACCAAACATACAGTATTCTTGCTCGGTCTGTCCACAGATAGCCAGGATCCTGGCATCTTCATCTCATATTTCTACTACCAAGTTCTTAAAGTCTAACTCTGAAACTCCACCTTCCAAGGAAAGGTAAACCTGAAAGTTATATTCAGTGCCTTCAGAGCTTGTTCCTCACTGCTGCATTTTCTTCAAGTCTTCATTTAAGTCAGTTAGATTTATTTTAGCTTTCCTTTTTAGCGTTGACAGCAGAAACTGACATATATTTAGCTGTTATGACAGCTGGCTTGCTCACAATAGATCATGAGACACAAATATCTAATGTTTAAAATTCAGTTTGTATTCAGTAAAGCATTTATAATAATTACCACATCTTCTACTTAGTATCATAGAAATTCTACTATTGCTATTGCTTCTTTTTTTTGCACTGTGATTCTTCTATCTAGTTTATTAGTTAATTATAAATATGTTACATATAATACTATTATAAATGTTCCCTGTTATATTTAATACCTGCTTAATACTTTCACTGCAAAGTTGTGGTTGCACTGGGCTGCTCTCAAGTGTGAATTTGGGTAAAGTAAGAGTAAAGCAACTAAGGACACCATGTACTCAGAATTGTGTAAAGGAAAAGCGCACTGATGGTCAGCAGTTTAGTGAAGAGTATTTTGAGAGTACATTTTTGCGCATCACTGTATTTATACAGTTTTGCTTAACACCCATCTTCTCTTCTGTTGTTAAAGTAATATTCAAGTTCTCCCTGCAGCCTGTTTACTTATCGCCCCCTGTTGGATTTTCAGTGAACTAGTGTCTGTGTTGCAGGTGTTGTTGAACCACTGTCCAACCAGACATAAACAATAATAAACCTCTTGCATGAGTGTTGAGTTCATTCAGGCACTGCTGGGCAATTATCATCAACCCAAAAACATTGTGTTCTACCATGTCTGGCACCAGGAATTACTGCCTGTAAACATTTTCGCTGTGTCTCTCTCATGTCAACTACACATTCACATTTTTAAGCATTGTGAGAGGAGAGGCTTCATTTCTTATATTGCACAATTCACATATTTTGAACACTGCCAGAAGACAGGCTTCATTGTAGAGCTCATCGCACCAAAACTCTAACTAGAACTGTAAGTACACTGCGGTTACTCTGACGCATGTACACTCAGTGACATTTTCCTTGAACCAACATGACCCCCAAAAGCAGATAAAAGATCTTTACTTTTGCCAAATTCTTTCTACACCTCTCAGTCGAGAAGGTTTTTGCTTCTCTGAGACCTTAAACCAAGCACTTATGATCTACATTTTCAGTGTTCTGCAGTTCAGCCTTCAGACAAATTAGCATTCATACAAACATGCAGTACTCAGAAAGTATAATCAGACATTTTTAGAGCAAGCCCCAACTGATCCATACTGTGCTTGGCCTAATACATAAAATAAGGCAAAAGTTTTAAGTCGAAGTGAACTCTCTGCCCTCAGTGTAACGAAGCTTTTTGACCTGGAGCTTCTCTTACACGGCCTTGATCTTGGCTACCTCATGGACGTCATGACTGTAAGTACTCCACTGCACACTGCGATAAAATTTAAATTTAGATTTTGCAGGAAAAAATGCATTTTTGAATGTGCAGTCCTTTTTTATGTGACAGATTTCAGTTCTCTTATCTCACATATGCCAAGATAACATGTTATCACACATAGTACATTACAGCGTTAGAGTAATGGGTGAAATACACTGATCCAAATGTGGGATAATGCACAGCTGCATTATCGACAAAATGACATTTACATGCTTGGGAAAGTGTCATAAGATGTGTGGTTTACATATTTTTCTTGGTGCTTCATAAAGGATCTAGTGTGCTAGACTGGCTTGGACTGAATTAAAGTGGGGGTCAGTTCAAGTTTTAGGTTCTATCTGATATACGAAGACTGGGTTTGACAGGTGCAGGTAGCTTGTTGTTACTGTATGGAAACATCTTATGCAGGCACATCTGTTTCAGGTCGTGGAGTCAGGAGCAGCTGTAGAAGTTTTGATTTGGTGAATGCTGAGCCATGTTTTTTCTGTTCCTGACTTTTCACTCACACACATGCACAGGAAAATGACATCACCTGGAGCTACCTGTTGACCATGGAGAAGGAGGACCTTGAGAAGGTAGAGGATGACATCTAACATCTATGTGTCTGTCAGCTTGGTAGCTCTCTGCCAGGCTTGAAAGAGACAGGAGTAGTTTGAGGAGAGATGAAACTGATAAGAAGGTTCTTTTTAAAAATATATTGCTGTGATTTTTTTTGATAGAGTTTAAATCTGTCACAAGTAGTAAATAAATGAAAAATTATTGCTTTATTTTCCTGGCCCACATGGGTCATTATTGCAAACACATGTCGCATTTGCAGTAAATAATAGAACAAAGTTTTCAAAGACAGAAAATCCCACAAATCTTTTTTTACTGCTTGGATCCTCGTCAGGACAGAGTTATGCCAGGAAATTAAAAAAAAAAAAAATCTTTTGTGAGTTGGAATATGTGTGGACAACCTCTGCTTTTTTGTGTGATGCAATTTTTAGATAGCCCTGCACTTACATGGTGTGTACCTAACTACTTTTGGCCTCTTCTAAAATAGTTTTCAGACATGAGACTTGCATCCTAGCTTGTGAATTACAATGAGCCATAAAAGAGAAACATAGAAATGTGTTTAAACTTAAAGTCAATAAATGCATGATACAGCTTAAGAAAATCCCCAGTAAATAATTAAAGAATTTATCATAATCATGCATTTAATTTTTCCGAGAATATAACAAAGGCAATCTTTTTTTTTATTTTTATTTTTTTATTTTAAAATACAAAAAACATCAGAAAATGTTTCTTTCTTTCTTTCGCTTTTGTAAGATTGGTATCACAGACCCAGAGGACCAGCAGAAGTTGTTGAGTGCTGTGCAGCAGATGCACCCGGACGAAGTAGACACATTCAGCCTGCTGGAAGCCGCAGACAGTGGGTAGGTTCCCACATCCTAATGTCCTGCTGGCTTGTGGCAATCAACATGTGTGTACTGCACAAAACATCAACATCCAAGAACCTTTAGAAGGCTTACACAGGAGGACTGTGCAGACTGATTTATTTGAGCATAACTTTTTTTCTCGGGAAGGCAGTACGAAAAGATTAGAATGATTAATGGTCTGATCAGATGTTTAATTCTCTTGACATTACACTTTCTATCTACAGTACAGTCCAAACATAAAAATCATTCTAGATTGTAGTTTCAAAAAACTTTTCCAAAGGTGTTTGAGAATCCCTACAGTATTTGAAAATCTTCAGTCTTTTAGGAATGTCTGATAAGCTGTATTCCACAAACAATCTGCACAAAGCCAGAAACAAAGTTGACGGTAGTAGCAAAAATTTAAACACTTGTCAGCCACACACCTTAAACCCTCCCCCACATCCAGCCCACCTCCATCTCCTTGTAATGCCCCGTCTGTCCTCCTCCACTGGAAGTCGTCCATCAACCCTATGAGCATCTCACTGTCCTGGCTCTGTATCTCCTTCCCCCCATCTCCGTAGCCTAGCCCTGAGCCAGGCCTTAATGGTTTAAGCGAAGCTGTAATGATTTGTAAGGTGAGAGGTGATGGGTGGTTGCAATGAGCAAAGGAGAGCCAGCGGCAGGGGCCAAACAGAGTCATCGCACCGCACCCCATCACCTCATGAATCCTCTGTCGAACTGGGCCCGTTAGCTTCACCCTGGTTCGCCTGCCGGATGAAGCACCGTCCAACAGAGAGTGGAAGGTTGATGACTAGGATGGAAAGCTTGAGAACTCTTTGAGGATCATTTCTTCATGCTGTATAAGATGGAAATTAGTCTCCTGTTTCTCTTGACCAGTCCAGTGCTTGTCATATGATCTGCCCATTGGTCTATTTAGAGCATAAATGTCACTTTGCTGCTATTTAAAATATTTTACTTAATGCAAAGCACCTAATGGGTGGCCATGTACCTTTGGAGTCTGTTCAGGCTCAGCTCGATGGGCTAGCACAGGACTGCTGTCTTTCTCCTGAATCCCAGAGCAGGTTGGGGACTTGTTATTCTAGTGGGTCATGTTCAAAGTGTGCCTTCCATCAGTAACTGCTTGGAAGTCTGGTCTGGTCTGGACTTAGCAGTTCCTATCAGTACAAAATCTCAAGACCATGTTGGTGAAGCTAAAGTTAAAGGTATAACCTTCCAGGCTTGGTTATTCTAGGGGACTTCTGAATCAATAGACAGGTCATGGGTGGCCAAAAGATATGCAGCCATTGGGAATGCAAGCCCAAGAAAATGAGTGTGTCAAGAATTTTCAAGGCCAAGAAGAATGACTGATCATTCTGGCAAGCCATCAGCCAGGACTGGATGTTGTTTGACTGCCTTGTCTCTGTTGTTGGGCATCAGGTTTGCCAAAGAAGAGCCTTCGTGGTCTTCAGACGGTCCCAAACGCAGCAGCTCGTGTTCTGACCAGAGCAAGTAGATATGAGGATATCACTCCAGTGGTGGCCTCTCTGCACTGGCTACCTGTTCAGGTTAGCAGACTTTGAGATGCTGCTGCTAACATATAAAATTGTAAATGGAATTACCCCATCATACCTGTTGAATTTGGTGAACCCGAATGTTCCCACTCGTGTTCTGCGTTCCCAGGGGACTGGGCTTCTGAGTGTCCCAAAGGTTTATAGAAAGACGGATGGGGAACGGGCTTTTTCTTTCTTAGCACCAACATTAGGGAACAGTCTACCTGTTGAAATCTGGCAGGCATCTTCCATTGATGTATTTAAAACAAAGCTGAAGACCCACTTGTTTCCTGTTACATATGAGTCTTAAATAGTTTGTTTTACTGATGCCCTTTTTATTGTTTCAGTATGTTTTTATCTGTTTGTGGATTTCTGATGTTTTTTATTGTCACGTTGTTTTTATCTCTATGTACAGCACTTGCACTGAAAGCGCTTTAGAAATAAATGTATTATTGTTATTATTATTATTATTATTATTATCCTTTTACATGCAGTGAAAACTATAACTCGACTGACACATGAGGGTGGAAGATGTAGTCCACTGAGTTTTTATCCTTAGTCTTAAAGGTCCCATAAATTAATTGTGTTTTGTGGTTGTTATAAACTTCTGCCATTCCTAAAGTCCCCCCACAACCTGATCACCTTGCAGCTTTACAAGTGACAGTCTGACCAAAGTGCTATGTACCAACACAAACCAACAGTAGTGTAGTTCAAATTTTTCTAAGTTTGCATCCTCAATGCCTGCTGCTTCCAGGTGAACCATTCTGAATGAGCAGCTGCCTCACAGTCTCCCAGGTTTATTTACTTTCTAGCGCTGTTCTTGTAACTCTAAAATGTCTCAGCCATGAGCAGATCACACCAACTGCTCTGCTTTTGGCTGAAAGAGTGAGAACTCCCAGCATCTGACGAACTAAAGACTTGGTGGAATAGTGTATTATTGATGGCAGTGACATCACCGCAATGACAAAATCCTTAGTGTTACTGCATTGTACGACTTATGTGGTTAATGTTGTTATTGTTAGCTTGGATTGTATGTGCCCAGGTTGAAGCTCAGTAATAATTGTTAAGCTGAGAGACATTCAGAGATATTGGAAACTTCATGAGCAATTTAAGACCAATAAACTAAGATAGAGTGGGTTACTGTTTTCATGTCACCTGTTGTGCTTCAGTGCAACATAAACTCAGCCAGTGTTTACATCTGTTTTCTTCTCTCTTGCTCTCTGTGCTCTCATATACTGTGTTTTAATACAGACAAATTCTCAAAAAAGCTTTTTTCATTCACAAATATTTCAGTGTCAGTTGTCAGACAGCAGAACAGGTATGAATTAGTGACTGAAATGCACCCCATTAAGACCAGCAGTCACTTGGGAGCCATTGTAAGATTTTAGATTTTGTAAGAATAAATGGACTGGTAAGACCTCAAGGGTACACTAACTACTCTACTGGTTCGGGGAAAGAGTTAGACTTGTTTGGCCTAGGGCTGGAAACTGAGCACTCACTGCCACTTCCAATTGAATTTGGACCTGTGACATGTGACAGAACTATTCCTGATCTGAATCTGCCTAGGAAAATGTGTGAAGTGGATGTAAATGTATGTCAAGTCTGCTCTCAGCAGCTACCATTGAGCAAGGCATTAAAAAAACAGGCATGTCCAGTTGTCTTGGATAACTAATGTTGAGTGGCACACATGTATCCTACGTCGGCATTCAAACATAACATCTACTACGTGTTTAACGAGCTTCCCCACGGAGCCCGTCATCACTCTCTCTAGATAAACTAACAGCAGGAAGAAGGGAGGTGTGGGTGCAGCACAGGCTGACTGACAGTGTTTACTCGCCCCTCTGACAGAGTGTGAGGAGGGCCGGGACGGCTGGCTGCCCAGTCCCCTCACCGCGGGAAATGTACCATTAAGATAAGAGCTATCAATATCCCACAGGACCAGGGGATGGGAAGAGAGGGACGGAGAGACTGATGAATATAAATAACTAATCATTTAAGGTGGATGTTTTCAGGGAGGGATGACAGCATGGGTTAGCATAAGGGGGAGGTGGGGAGAATGCTTGGCCACCTGCTCAGTTTTCTGTAGTATTTGATGAGGTGGTGTCCAGGAAAATGCATTGAGAATGTTAACACAAGAGTTTGGTCCAAACTATCAATCTGTCTGCGCTGCCATTGCTGAGCATCTTCAGCAGACCCTGCCTTGTTTTTTTTGGTTTTTTTGTGGACATCTCTTTAGGGTTCACTTTTTTAGAGGGAAACTTCCTGACCTCAGTTTTAAAGCTCATGTAGCATTATTTGTATGCCCAAAAACGCTGACTTGTCAGATGAACTGTTTGTTTTGTAGTTATGATTGTAATCACAATAAAGATCTGGAGTCCCTGAAATGCAATTGTATTTTCACAAATTCTGTGCTGTAACTTATAATTACATCTATATTAACCTGTAGATCATCTCTAGTTTAGCACTGAATAATCAACCAGTTGTTTAGTATAAGATGTAAAAAAAAAAAAAAGAAAAAGAAAAAGAAAAGCCTATCAAAAAATTCACCAAAATGTGACAACTTTCTAATATTTGTTTTGTCCAAACCATCATAGAGCCCAAGGACACTGATACAGTGGTATAAAATCTTAAATTCTTAAATTCAGCAAAGCCTCATCATTCAGAAACTGGATCCAGAAAAGGCATTTTTTTGTGAATACCTTCTATTATAAATTGATTATTAAATGGTTGATTAATTTTCTTTTCGTGAGCTAACAGAATATGTAATAATTAGTGAAATTTGATATGTAAAGTGTTGAACATGAAGTGAAATTGTGTTTATTGAGAAAAGTTTTATTGGTTTTCCGATGTTTTAATGAGGTCTTTTCTCTGCAGCAGTGAGGAGCTGCAAAACTTCATGATAAGTGTGAGTCAGCAGTGCTGCTACCTGACGGAAATGATTCAGGACGCCATCAGCCGTTTCCCCCGGCAGCCTTCTCAGGTAAATGTCACTATAGTGGTGCACTTGTTCAGGGCCTTCCAACCAAGTGTTGATGCATGGGATTCAAGTTCACGCTAATGCGCTGACATTTTGGCAACAGGTGTATTTGGGGCACAATTGAATTGCCAAACGCATTAAACTATTGAAGAGTTCTGGGGATTTTTTATAGAATACGTTTTCAAGCATATAGTTAGTGTAATGTAGATGCACTGTTGCACTTGGCTAAATGTTTAACATAAAGTTCATTTGTAGATATTTTAGATTTAGATTTTTTTTATTTATTTATTTTCTGCTTTCAGAAAATGTTGAGGATGCTCACTTGGCACTATTTAGTGATCCTTGCTGTCAACTGACTTGCTTTGCCTATCTGCTGCATTGAGATTCTTTTGTAAACAGAACTTTCTCTGCCTCTCTGGTGCTCCAAATAGTTGGTCTTCTCATTGGACCCAAACAAAGACGCTCAGGGCATCTGCAACCAGCTAGTGCTCCAGAATAAGGACCTGCAGAAAGAAATCATCTGCCTCCGCAATCTGCTATGTCAGGTAAATGGTCTGCATTAAATGGTTTGCACTTATATAGCGCTTTTCTACCTCAGTGGTACTCACGGCGCTTTACAATGTTTTCTCATTCACCCATTCACACACATTCATACACCAACGGTGACAGAGCTGCCATGCAAGGTGCTTTTCTGCCAACTTCAAGTTCAGTGTCAACACACACACTCACGCATTGCACAGCTTATGCTTCTGCATTTTTTCTTAACAAAGCAGTACCTTCTGTTACCTTTTAGATTCAACAGGTGGCTTTTGCACAACCAACCACACTCAGTGCCTCAGTCTTGCAGACTTCTAATGCAGAAACAGATGGTTTCTGACCTTTATGAAAAAGTTGTGACAAATGTACTGTACCTAGTAAGGTTGGACATTTTAAGGCTGAGCAATGGTGTTATTTATCAGTAATGACAGCAACAGAAAATACAAAATTCAACAATATATAAAATGAAAACAAATTTTTATTAACTAAGACTACAAAATAAGGTATTTTGAAATAGGATGAAACAGAATATAAATAAAAACATATATAAGGAAAAACAAATATAAGTTGACAAACTATAGTTTATTTTTCGTGTCAGTTTTGATGTTCATACTGACATGTGTGATAAGACGGTATCAGCTGTTAGAATTCTTCCTGCTGATAGTATCAGTGAGCACATTCACACTTCATGTGAGTCAATTTAGATTCCTTTCGTACACTGCAGACTAATAATTCCAAGAGTTTTCCTCTTACTGCAGGGAATAAAAGACCATGAGGAAAACATAGTGCCTGCGTATGTATGTTAGATGTTAGGTTAGATGATTTCTGGCGAGCTCCAACAGGTACATGCAGGAGTGCTTACATGTGTGCACCTGATTTGTGTGTGTGAGTGTGTGTGTATGTGCGTGCGTGCGTGCGTGCATGTGTGTTTGCATTTGTATTCCAAGAGGAGAGAGTCATTCCTGACAGGGCAGAATCCTCACAGCCCATAAGTCAGCACCGCTGTGACATCGACCTGTCAGCACACAGACGATGAGGCGGAGGGATGAGGGGGGCTGATGGGAAGGCAAGGAAGGGGGCAGAGAGAAGCGAGGAGGGGGCGCAGGTTGGTGGGGTGAGGGAGTTTAAAAGAGGAGAATGGGCTGATGGGTAGAGGTGGGGGTACGTTGTGAGGAAACAAGGTGGAATTGTAGTAGATAGAGGTGCCTGTATTTCAATAGCAGTAGTGAGGGGGTCCAGTTGTGTCAGACAGGAATCTGACAGCCAATGAAGCCTGTTTGGACCCACTGGCTTCCACCCTCAGGAGGACGCGCTTCGTACACAGGCACTTACAAATATAAAAAAATAACCTTGTCTATGAAAAACTTTTCTTTGAAACCATGCTTTCACTGTATCTGCTGGACCTCTCACTATACAAGCCATGACACACACTTTTGGTATTACTTTTGAAACAAAGCACACTGTTTTTCTTGATAAAAGCACAAAGTCCTGAACCAGTAATGAGAATCGTGCTTGTCACTGCCATCTAGTGTTAATATTGGATCTACCATTTAGCCAGACAGTTACTAGACTTTTATTTAACTTTATCAGTGACCAACAGAAAGTCCCATGTTTGTCAACACATTACTGCAAAGGTTATAGTATTATTAGATTAATTGACGGAGATGCATATGTAAACTTAATTGCCAAAAGAAATGTGGAGTTGGGAGAGTTGCAAATACGGGAGGGATGCTTGATTGGAACCAAATTACTAAGCTTAAAGCTTGAAGGTCCTGGGTTCGATTCTTGGCATGGATCTCTGTGGGTTCTCACTGGGAGCTTCGGCTTCCTCCCACAGTCCAAAGGCATGCTGAGGTTAACTGCGGATTCTAAATTGTCTATAGGTGTGAATGTGAGTGTACTTGGTTGTCTGTCTCCGTGTGTGTTGGCCCTGTGATAGACTGGTGACCAGTCCAGGGTGTACCCTGTCTATATATGGAAACATAACACTGGATCAAAATACTTTGTGCAATGTAAAAGAGGCTCCTAGCAATGAACCCATGTGCTTTGCACACATGTATGGTCCATTCTCTGCACTCTCATCACGCTTATTCTCAGCAGCAGCAGATGACAATTTTATACAACAACAACAAAAAAATCCAGAAGCAGCAGAAGACAGACAAAGTTTGTGACTAGCTAGAAAGTGGAACATTTAGCAGCATAAAAGGGGCATATTTAACTGTGGTGTAGGCCTAAATTTTGTGTGATGCCCGTATTTTTTTCAGGTTGTTGTGATTTGTTATTTATTTTTTGGTTTAACAACTCCCCTTATTAATATAGAAGTGATCCTGTGGGGTTCTTTGATGACATACATGTGTATGAGGGCACTCAAGCACGCACGTGAACGATTCACAATCCTTCCAATAGTGTCATCTGACCACACTGATCATCAAGTGATGGAATGGAAGATTGTGTTGTGCAAAAATCAGCTTTGTAAATGTTGGATAAGGAAGGAAATGCATTCAAGAGCTCTACTAAACCATGTGTATACATATATTATGATTTGGTGAGTACCACTGAATGTGAACAGAATTTTGTTCACAACTCCACTCCAATGACTTGGATGATATCGTTTAGAAACCCCTGAGCTATTGTAGTTCCCACAATGTGAAACAGCAATCTCCAGTTCCACAAATTACAATGCACAGTGAGATACGTAGTGAGTCAAGGGTATTAACAGCAATCTGTAGAGATGTTATTGTCATTTAGTGGGTTAAGACACACCTAAATGTTCCTGGTCTTGTCTCAGCAGTTTACATTGAAACATTACATTATTGGTCTAGCATGCTGTCAGCCAATAAGACTCCACACATTATTTTATTATTTTCTTCAGCAAGTCACCACTCACATTTGGTACAATGAACTTGTTATAATTGGATGAGTATAAAATATTTGTCCCTATATTTATATTTTGAGAACTTTTTGTCTTAATTGGAGAATAGACATACAAGTGTTTTCTTTGAGACCAAATTATGACCAAGAATGGCATTTACCAAGACAAGATGAAGACTTTGAGGGGTTGAGACCAAGACCGAGACAGGGTGAGACTGAGTCAAGACCAGGACCAAGACCGCTGCGACTCCTCCATTACATGACACACTCATAAAATGCAAACCATTGCTACTGTTGTACATTGAAAGTGGTATATATAATAAATATAAAGGTAGTTAAGCAAGCTTTCCCAACATCTCTTACACTATGCTCACCTTTCCTTATACTTCTCTCATAAGTGCTAACAAAAGGTTTGACAATGTCCCAGCTATCTCAAGAAAGCATTGCATTGGAGAATTTACATACTTCTATGTGTTTGTTTTGTTTTTTTTTTTGTCAGTTTTTCCGACGAGTCTGTTGTGGTTTAGGAATCAAAATTTTGTCGCATTAAATTTTAGCAGATGTCTTCACAGCTTTTTCTTCTGTCTCCTGTATTCACATCCTTAGAGTACATGTGAAGTGGGAGGAGACAGTTGTATACATTCAGTAGTGATGTTAACAAATACATCAGACAATGCACATGCAATTTAGTAATGGCCCCACAGTTGTGGTCTTGACTCATTTGGAAATATAATCCTGTGTTCTTTGTCTGGGACTGAGACAAGTCCCAAAATAAGTGGTCAATTCTGAGATAAGACTGACACCTTCAAATAGACCAATCTTAAATACTACAACACTAGGACATAAAGGAACTGTGGAGAAAAATGGACCAGCGCAGACGTGCAAAGTCCTCAGCCTTACTCAGAATTGGGGACTTTGAAGTTCTCATGCAGAGACATGGAAGTGATATATTTAGCTCTGTTGGGAAATAGCTCTAAGTGGTGGGAAATACTGCTATAGTTAACATATGTATCATCAGCAGCGAAGTGGATTGTAACTTGAGGATGTTGTTATTACGAGAACTGATGGGGAGGAGTCATTTTTTGTACACCTGGGTCAGGAAGTCCCTCTGAATTTTTCCCATAGACTGTTGGATGACTCCCATATATGGAGCACATATATTGCTTGGATTAACATGAAACTCTCCTGGTCCAATCATCAGTCTAAAATATGAACAAATGCTTTCATCTTCTTTGAGAAAGCTATAAATATAGTCTGCAACTAACATTCACTTTTTAGTTCTCAGTTCATTTTGAAAGTTTTTGTGAACTATGGTGCCAACTGTCATTTTTTAACTGCGCCGTCAAATTTCACAACCAACAGCTGCTAAGGCTAATGGATGTTGTACTATTTTGAGCTGTCCATCATGCCCAAATCATTCAAAAAAACAATGCAAACATTTAATCTACAAACGATGGCGTCGACCTATAGGATTGTGACATTATATGGGAGAGTCTGTGTTTCTGTCTTAAGTACCTTTTGAGAAACATTTGAGGGAAAACTAAGATGGAAATTGTGAGAAAACACTAATATATCTTTACATTTGGCACTTATGTTACATCTCTGTCCTGTGGGAATAACACCTCCCCAGCACTCACCAGAAACATTTCCTTCTTAGTGATGTCAGACTTCAGGAAGTTGTAAGAAATCTGGGTTCAAACCACAATTTGTCATATTTACTGGCAGAAAACTCAATTTGAGCTTGTATCTTGCAACTTTTTCCCATGCTCAGGATTCAGTGTGACACTGTGTCACCCTGTGACTTGAGAGTTCAGGAACAGCATAATTCCTGCGTGACTTGACCGTGACCAGAGATCCGACCCTCTGGCTGATGAATCCTGGAGGATTTGGCACAGGAAGTTTTGGTGACTCAGGTTTGCCAGTCATGCTGTGGTGGTGTGATGGGGCCAGACATGCCCTTAGCCTTCAAACTAGTTGGTCTTTGTTAGATTTCCTCCCACCAGTGACTGAGCAGATATTTCTCACCCAGCAAAGCTTTAACTGGCCTGAAACTGTCTGACCAGTTCAACTGCCATAATCCAGACTGGATTGGGTCAAAATGACCTTCTACTTCCTTCATGAAGTCACCTCACTCGTACTCTTTGTTGTGGTCATATATGTGTGTGTTTCTCATGTGAATCTTAGTTTGTCCTCCTCCCTCAGGTGGATAAAGATGGAGATTGCAGTCAGCTTCCTCAACCCTGTTCCCACAACAACAGGAGGATGTGGTCCCGGACCAGGGTTTTTCTGAGTGCACTTGGAGTCACCTTCCTGCTGCTTCTCTACAAAACTGCCCCGGGCAAGGTTTACCTGCACTTGAGCAGGAATGTCTTCTCATGACCTTACAGATGTGTCCATCAGTTAATGAGCTTTTGAGTTAATCAGTGAGTTAATCATACTATGTTGTGTTTACTGACTATAGCTGATAAGTTGGTTTATCAAAGGGTTTCTGTGTTTTATGAGTGGTTGACAAGACAGTTTTACTTTTGCTGCAGTGTTTTGTTTCCCAGTTTTCCAGACTTGTCATCAAGTTAAGTTCTTAATTATTTCTAAGTTATTTTACATTTTAAGGGGTTAAGTGATAATTAAAGTTTCTTTTAAGGAGCAATTTTGTTTGTGGTCAAATTAATGGTTTGTTTACAGTGGCTGTCAAAATATAACATCTACCTAATGAAGCAGTTTAAAAGGACACATTAGAATTTTCAGCCATTATAGTTATGGACAGGTTTGAAAAAATGCTTTACTTTCTTTCCCATGGTGAGATGAGAAGATCAATGTTGACCTCTTGTCTGTGCGGGGAGCATGAAGATGAAGCCAGCTTCGCTGAAAGACTAAAGGCAGATGAAAACAAAATCCAGCCAACACATCTGAAGCTCACCAGTTATTTTAGGAGGAGTTACAAATAGTTACCTTGCAGTGAAGCTGACAGACAACAAGCAAACATTACATTTCAGTTGAGGTACTTGTTTAACAATTGACATTTGCTGTGCCACTTGGTGAGCTTCAGTAAGTGCACTTTTATGCGTCTGTGCCAGTGACAGCCGAAGCTAGAGGCATTCTGTTTTTGGGTTGTCAAGATGCTGTATTTACACCTGTTGACCTGAAATGTTGTTTTAAATGATATTGATTTAAAAGTTAAATTGCCTATTAGCCACTAGTTGAGATGTTTGAACTGAGTTAGGAATATGTTCTTATAGTCAAAACTAGAATCTCAGAAACACTCATTGTGTGAGTCTTCAGCTCAGGAATATGCATCACTTTGCATCGTCAAACTTCATTTCAGTTTTATTAGAGTCGGTCTCTTGAGACCATGGCCTGATTTACAGTGGTGGCATTAAATTTATCAGAGATTACTTTCCCTCTCATAAAACATGTAGTGAAACACAGTGGCCTTAATGCGATTTGGTAAGGCAGAGAACAAGTTACTTCAATTAAATTGGATTTCTATTACAGACGTATTACAACTACTGCTGCTGCAAAAACAAAGTCGTGTTCAATGGAGTGAGGAGAGCAGGGAGAGCGTTCTAAATCTCCTTGTTGTTTTATGGTTTCTTCCACGGGGATCATGAGAAAAATCCAATTTGCCCATTAATCTCATCTGGTCAGGGTCTCCGGACCTCCAGATACACCCAGAACAGATCAAAGATGGAGGAAATGCCGTGTGACAGTGGTACAGATTTCCCCGAGAGACTTCAAAAAGACTGCAATAGATAATCCAATTGAAATGGACACATCACCTTTAGGTGCTGCTTTGGGAGAATCGGTGCGTAATTTTTCTTTTCTGCTCCTTTTTTTGAACCACCATTCCTGAGTTATTAGTTAGACTGACTGATGGTTTGTATAAGGCTATAAAATAACAGTGCGTCATGCTTTCATAATCAGAAACATTTTGCACCTGTGCGCCATTTGGTTATAGCAACAGGATCTCACTTTTAACCACAAACATACCAGATTTATTCAAATGTGTGGGATCTTTGTGAAAAGTTGCATCACTGATGTGGGTGATGTGTAATTATACATCATGTTAGTAAGTAATGTGTCGGTCTGTGCCTCCAGTGACCAATGTGGATCCCTCGAAGAAAAAATATTCTAGAACATCTTTTCGCAAAACGTGGATTCTGTGTACGCAAAACTCTCTGTCTTCAGTTTTTTGTGCACAGAAGTCATTTTTCGAGACTTTCAAGACTTCGTGCATCACAACAACCCTGATCCATCACTACTGTTTCCTCGATTTTGCGCCCAGAGTTCGAATCTTAGCGGGTTGTATGTTTTTTTTTTTTCTGGTGAGGGGCATTGCCCGCAGGATGAATCCTCCTACAGTCGGCTCCTTCTCTGAGCGCGTCGGGGCAGAGTGAGAGAAGAGCCCATCAGCTTGGACCACATCAGAGCTGCGGAGCTCCGGTCTGGACGCGGGCCAAGCCTGTCTGGTGTCAAACCAGCCTGAACAGATACTCTCAGACATCTCATTTCTTCACCTCATTCCTGAGACGGGACTGCCCACCCCTTGTGTAAAGCAATTTGAACCTGATAGCACATTATCTGCCTATCTCCTCTGAAAATCTCTGCTGGACTATTAAGACAGGCGCTCCTCACTTTTTCCTCATAAGCGCTTTGCCACCGTGCAGAATCGGAGCCAGACATGGCTTTTACGTGCAAATCGTCCGTCCTCCGATTGTCCTGTAATATATTTTTTAAACAAGCTTGAATCGGAGATTCCGCGATATTTGACTTCCCGAATGTTTCATAATTTTCTTTGATCCCTGGAAATGCTCCATCCAGATCCATAAAGGACCAAAGTTTGGTTAATATGAACTTATTGCCAAGTGGAATATGTTTTTATTTATCTGTAGCAATCTGCTGGCTGACGGCCGAGGTCGATGCGTCCTGGTGGTAAGAACTGCTTCATTTATTTCCATCTCTGTTTAAACGCAGCTGCAAAGCCCATGCATAGCTTTCCTCATTAAACAGGGACATAACCAGCATGCACAATGTTCCAAAGTGTTGTTTATTAATGTGTCACCAGTAACATAGCTCCTCTGTGTAGAGCATGTCGCGAATGTCTAATTAATGTTTTGTGTGTGTGTTTTTAAAAAAAAATGCTAATCTGTATTTTCTTTGTTCGTTTTGAGTTGTTTCATGAACACTCTTGCCTTTGCTTATGACATTTCCCACACACTGAGTGACTTAATTCCCCCCTGCCTTTCATAGCTGTATTTTTGCAGCTTGTTGAAGACTGAATATTTGGACAGATACGTTTCCCAGCTAAAGTCATTTGATATATTTAATTTCACTTTATTTGCTGTCTTTCTCTTGAATCTCTAATTAATATTTTTAAAGGTCCTGCTTCCAAATTCCACACCTCATACCTCTATGATACTGAGATGCTGAGATAATTCCTTTTATGTTGCTGCTCTGCTTGGTCCCTAATCGTTTCAGCAAATCTCTGCAGCTTGCCAGTCTTTCATCACCTTGTTCTGTAGGTACAAGGGAGTGTGGACTTGTTAGGAGCATTTTAAACAGATGTTTCTCAAGAAGACACAATTTTGCCACATTTCACCATCATTTTCATCTCATTTCCTTTTTTCCAGAATGAAAATGTTCAGTTGTCTCTTATACCAAATCTATCTCTGCTAGTGACATATTGAGCTATTTGTACTTTTGTTGGTAGAAGTGTTGCATTTTTCTTCTTTCGTAAAAAATAAAAATTATGCTTTAGCTTCCTCATTGATGGTTAATTAATTTAATGTCCAAAAGTTTAATGTCCTAATCCTTTTCCCTGCCACTCTGCAGGTACATGGGCACCCTGGGCTCCCAGGTTATGTGCGACAACATCCCTGGTCTGGTGAACAAGCAGCGGCAGCTGTGCCGCCAGCACCCCAAAGTGATGCAGGCCATTGGGGCTGGGATGAAGGACTGGATCTCGGAGTGCCAGCACCAGTTCCGCAACCACCGCTGGAACTGTAACACCACGGCTCGGGACCACAACCTGTTTGGACGGCTGCTGCTACGCAGTGAGTGAAGTGGATGTTAGAGCCAGGATAGAACCCTCATCTTAGTTTAGCCTGAAAGAAAGTCAAATTAAAATGATTAAGTGTTTAAAGTCATTATTCTAGGTAAAATCTGACATTTATCTCCAGTAATAATCCTGCCTGCTAAAGTGTCCTTGAGCAAATCACTGAGCCTCCTTAGATCCAGGACTGCTGCTCGGTAGTAGACCTCTGGTCCCTCTGTAGGACAGGCGAGAGAAAAGGGAAGTTTAATAGATTAATAAATAGAGAATGCATTATTCAGTGCTAATGCTGCTACTACACTGTTACACTTTAGTCTGTTTGGACCAAATTGTGTCTTCATCTTCAAACCCTGAGTCATTTGTCCTAATAAATAATCTAAGTTATTACTCTTGAATTTGTCACAAATACATAAAGGGACGATAACGTGAACAGCAATATTATAGTTCTAACACTTATTTGACTGATTGTCATGAACAAGGCTTTTAAAAATATTTTTAAGGATTTTTTAACAAATATCTTTTGCGCAGCCTTGCAGTAAATGCAGGAATGAGATATAGTAAGTGTGTATAAAGCATTGTATGCATGATACAATGTCTTCAGGGGCTGTCAGGTGCCTTAAACACTGCATGACTAAGAATAGAAAGTTGGTGACTACATTGCTGCTACAGTATATGCTGGGTTGTGTTACCAGGTCATTGTGTGCTGCTGGCATCTCCTGGAAATGAATACGATGTACGATCACGTATGTTAGAACACACCGATCAGTTTGCAGTGACAAACATGGTTGGCCATATGCCCTAACTTAATGTGACAAATCTAAACAATTGGTTGGTTTTTAAAGTGTTGGGTAGATTTATTGCCACTCGGAGGCTTTCTGGGAAACTGATAGTTCCCTCGCAGATATGTTCTGTTTTTTCCACGGAGGTTGGATCACATTCCACACCTTGTCTCACTTTACAATCAGACATTTATCACGTCAATGCAGCCAACTGGTTTCTCTGTCAGTCGGTTTCTTTGTTAATTTGCTAACTTAGTCATTGTTTTGATATAATACTGTTATACATTTTGGTGCCCATATTTAGTGCTAAAACAGTTTGTCAGTGGAGAACTGTATCTGCAGTAATTTTGATAATCTATAAAATAATTTGTCATTTACCAAACAAAAATTAAATATTTAATGGCTCCAGCCTCTTCAACATGAGGAGTTTTAGCTTCACTCTTTTATATTTTGCTATGAATTGACTGTCGTCATGTTTTGTACTATTGAATGGAATAACTGACTGATTAATCTGTAATAATTAGGTGAATAGTTGCAGCCTTATGCAGATTTTGGTCTCAGTAGAAAACCAAATGCTGTAAAATAAGATTCCATTTTAATGAGTACTTCAGTTTCATCATGATGTTTTTGTTTTCCTTAGATGTACTTTGGCTACTGTCTCAGCGGGCTAATTACTCTCCCCTCAGCTCATTTAAATGAAAAATGGCAGAAATTTAAACTTTTTCCAAATAAAAGTAATCCCACCACTTTCAAGATCCACGTCAGGTCATTAGCACTGTTTACCTTCTCTGGTGATTTGCAGGAGAAGATACTTGATTTATCGATGGTTTTAAAAGTCCAGAGAGGACACAGGCACAGTTTTTTTGTTCTTTTTTTTTTTTTTTTAAAGTGGTGGTAGGGTAGGGGGTTTAGAGTGGAAAAATAGGTATTATGAAGAGTGTGACAAATGACTCCTCCCAAGCAGTAAAGTGCGATTAGCAGCATCAGGGATCAAAGTGATTAATGAACAATGAGCAGCAATAAGCAGCCTGTCGCTGCCTGTGGCAGATGTGAACTCTGGACAGAAGCATCTTGTCAAATTAGACGTGTGACTGTGCGTCTCTGCAGCTAAAATCAGCCTGCATCTCCTGCAAGGGCATGTTATAACGAGTCCTAATCTTTTTTTATTGCCATTGGAGGATCATCAGGACTTGGCGGCCTGATGTTCCTCTCCCATGCCCTGAGATTTAACCTGTGAGGCGGATCCTTTGACTTAGTCCGTTTCATGTCAGGGCCTCTAATCAGCCGTGTGGTATTCGGACCTCCCAGCCGGGCCCCGGCTGTGTCACACAGCATTATCACGGCACATCGAGGCCCCCGTCAGAAGCTCCTTATTGTCAATGTCAGTGGGCTAATTTCAAACAATTACACACGAGGTTTCCCTCGGTGGCGTTGTGTTCTCTCAGTGTTCTCCTCATTAACCTCATTAGACACGCTCAACTTAGCTGCTCAACCTGGACACACATACACACACACACACACATGCGCGCACACACACACACATACACACACACACTGATATCACTGTATAGATGTGTTTGCCAGAACTGGGTGCCATTTTTCTATATTAATGATGCCTTTTAAAACTTTTACCAAATATTATTGACATTTTTTGATACATTCCAGACATTTATTGTCAATATTTACTTCAGTTTTTGATTTCTAGTGCTCTAGAAACCCCCCCAGAAAGTAGTGCAATTCCCTCGAGTTTGTATTTACCGTGGTGCACTGGCAGAAAAGGAATCTGCAGCAATTTAAAGAGTCTGTTAATCCCTTAAAGTAAAATCAAATAAAAATATCATCTACTCCAAAGTAAAACATTTTTAAAGCTTTTTGAAGAAGAATGTGTGTTGTTTAAAATCTGGAAGACACAAGCCACTGTTTCTTTAAACAAGAAGGTTAAAGTGTATATACTATTTCCTTCATTAATTTCTATTTACATTGATCTCTGTAATAAGTGATCATAAAAACATCATGTAGTCTGTAACAGAGTCCAACAAAAAAAAGAAATACTACAGTTTGTAAATCTGAGGATTTTTAACATGTCTTAACCACTGGTAGTTTCTGGGCAGGTTTTTTTTTTTTTTCTTCTTTTGGTCCTGCACCTCTGTGGAAACAACAAAACCATGGACTAGAAGAAGAGAGAAGTCAAAAATGTCTCTTGTGCAGTGTGTTAAAGTTACACTGCCTTTAATCATTAAAAAGAAAAAAAGTTCGTTGAGTATTTTATTTTTATTTATTTTTTTCCCCCAAAATAAAAATACATGCAAACCATGTGCACAACATTTTTCCAAGTGCCAAAAGGTGTTACCAATAGTTGGAAACAAAAAGTGACTCTGCATGCTGTACTTAATTAATTCTTAATACTTTTAGTAATTTAATACATTTTTAGTTTGTTTCCATGCTTGTTTCCTCTGAGCTCTTTGCATGTGACTATTGATCACAGCTGAGTCACTAATGGCTGTTGAAAGAAACGTTATAAACCCACAGATTCTGTTTTTACAGTTTCTGACTCTGATAAATGGTGTAATTTCAGCAATTTATTGTTATTCTTATTATTATTATTATTATTATTATTGTTATTATGAGTAGTAGTAGTAGTAGTTGTTGTAGTAGTAGTAGTATTTTAAGATAACATGCCTTTTAAAGTTGCTGGCAGTTTTTGGGTGTTCAGAGTGTTAAGCTCTCATTTACTGTAATAGATAATATTTACCAGAGAGTTATGACCTTTACCTTGTCTTTGATGGAGGTTTATTTCCTGTGTCTCTTTTATCTGACAATACATTACACACTGACCACTAAACATTAAAACATCATTTCATTGTATGTTTTCTCTAAAAAGCAGGTTTGCTGTTGTTTTTCTGGTTCGGAATTATGTTTGCAAAAGTTCTTCTTTGGTTTCATTTTGTTTGTCACCAATTAAATGTTGAGGAATATCATGAAAGATGAAATCTCCAATAAATCTACCGAACTGTGATCATCAGATCCCCTCACTGTAGGAATCAAGGGTTCTATTTCTTCATTTACTTTGTTGCCCATCTGTAGTTCACTTAATGTTTCTTGCCAGGCGTAATGCTCTGAGTGCGTGGGAATAACTGACAGTGACTCAGATGAGCTTCTGGATAACAAGAGAGCAGTTTAGAGAGAGACAATTTTCCCTGACATTCTCATGAAACAATATCTGTCTATTGCTAACAAACACAATCATTACTTGTAGCTCTAAACATGTCAAAAAAATCAATTTTTTTATTTCACTGTATGAATCTTCTCGTGTCATCATTTTGTAGCAGCGGTTAGAAACAGACACACACCCTTTCCCTCACCTCAGCCTTTGATCCTGCTCTGATCTCTCATCAGTTACATGTAGATCGAGATAAGGGCTCTGTATCAGGGCATTGCTGGTAAACGTTAGCTGTTTATCCATCTTGGAACAGATTAAGCGCTTTTTCTATTTCATGCCTTGCATGAAAGCTTCTGGCAGACAACAACAAACACGGGTCTTACAGGTAGCAGCGGTTTCCAAACATTTGAAGGATTGTTCTGTTTGTAATGGATTCATTTTGTCAGCAAGCCTGTATTGGGAAATATATAAAGAAGGGTACCAGTAACTGTGCAGTAACTTTTTGTTTTCCATATTTGTATTGAGAAAAGGGTCTCAACCTCTGACGTCAATGTGCAGCTCTGCATTTTTTATTTTTTTTTTGCCATACTGGCTGCATGACTGTAAGCATGTCATGGTGGAGTGCTGAGGATGCTGCCTGGACTGATTAATCACCTGCAGTCACATAGAAACTCAAACAAAATAGTTCCCTTGTTCCATTGATCCCCAGCTGTTGCCGCACATCCCATATACAAATGAGTGCATCGAAGAGCTTAAAAGCTCAGGAGTAAAGTGTAATGTCACCAATAAAGTCAGGTAGTTTAAAAAAGAAATTCCTTCTCCACAATATTTCTTCTCCTAAATCATTCCTGCTCTTCTGCACAGGACATGAAAATGTGTTGTCTCCACACAGGCAGCCGTGAGGTGGCCTTTGTCTACGCCATCTCCTCGGCTGGAGTGGTTTACACATTGGCACGAGCCTGCAGCCAAGGCGACTTAGACTCCTGCTCCTGCGATCCCACTAAGAAGGGCTCATCGCGGGACTCCAAGGGCTCCTTCGACTGGGGCGGCTGCAGTGACCACGTAGAGCATGCCATGCGCTTCAGCCAAACCTTTGTGGATGCAAAGGAGAGGAAGGAGAGAGATGCCCGGGCCCTTATGAATCTGCACAACAACAGAGCTGGGAGGAAGGTGAGGACTGCTGACCACATGTAGGAGTAACGTGGAGGAATCAACTAGGTAATATCCTCCGAAGTAGACAGACATTTATTAAACACTCCACTGTTATTCTGGATTTAAATTGGATTTGACCTGTTGTTGAACTTCAGATGCAGTCATCAAACTTGCCTAAGGACATTTTTAAATCTGAATGTTGGATTTTTAGAAAATAAAAATAAGAATGTCCTTGTATGTGCAACATTTAAAACTCTCTGATCCTAATAGTGTCTTCAATTTGTGACAGATAAGATCTTCTGCTTCTATTTGACAAACATAAAAAGTAACATTAATGAGAATGTGTTTTTCTAGGATGTATTGTTTTACCAGGATGATAAAATAGGGAATTATTCTTTGTTCTGCACTTACTAAATACATTTTTTTATGCCCCTTAAACTATTATTATCCTCACTGTATACCAACTCCATGTGTCATAAACTTGTAAAATCCACCTTCTTTTCTCTGACAACTGTCTGTTCTCCTGTTCAGGCAGTGAAGCGTTTCATGACTCTGGAGTGTAAATGTCACGGTGTTAGCGGGTCGTGCAGCATCAGGACCTGCTGGTTAGCCATGGCTGACTTCCGACGCACTGGTGACCACCTACGGAAGAGGTACAACGGCGCCGTGCAGGTCGCTGTAAACCAGTATGGCACTGGGTTCACTGCCGCACACACTCACTTCAAACGTTCGAGCAAGAACGACCTGGTCTACTTTGAGGACTCACCAGACTACTGCATACGCGACCACGAGTCAGGTAAAGGCTGCCTTTCAAAACCTTTACCTCAGGATCTGTCAATCCATATGCAGTCCCTGTGACTTTTGAAACACTTCCAGTAAGTTTGGATTTGGAATTTAGTGGTCAAAAGACAGGAATACATCAGACTTAACACCATTTGGATGTGTGGTTTACAACATGCTGAATTATAAAGTGATCTTGATCTCTAGAGTTTAACTAAACCACATCAACAAACATGATGGGTTAGTGTAAACAAGCCCTTCAAGGGGAGGAGATATTATTAGATTTGTCAATGCCTGATCACCAGTTGTTGGTTGAATTACACATGTAAACTGCAGGTTCAAATTTGCATCGCATACACCTAACTGTTGTGTCGAGAGGGTAGGATGCACAATGGCGCCACAAGATGACAAAAACTTTTATTCTCTACATGTATGTGTTGTAGATTAGTTGCAGTACCTGGTTGTTCCACCAGGTGGAGCGTCTTACTATTTAATACAGGTATTAAACAGTAAGAGGAGGCAGTTACTTGTAGTACGGACAGGAGTTCAGCCCTGACAAAGATTTCTGTGATGCTTAATAGTCTCCAGCTAGAGCTCATTTATTTAAGATGTGCTCAGATCAAGTAGTTCCTGTATCCCAGTGGCATACGCAGCAGAGCGGACTTTGCGGCCTATATCATGTGTCTGTTGACTAACACAGCAATACCAGAACAGAACAAATGTCCACTGTTTTCAGACTGGAACTGGGACATCTCTATGCAGAGGCACTTTCACTGCATCCTGGGCTCAGCAGCAATGCAGAGCTTTTTTCCCCACATAGCAGAATGATAACGAGGTGCAACCAAAGTGCTGTCTGGCTGTGCAAGATACTGCACTACACATGAATAACAAGTAGGATGTTAGTTTGTTTGTTTTCTTTATCAATGTCAGTGTAACCTTTTGATTCTTATTTTATTATGCATGTATTTATGTATCTGAATTTGATATATCTCAGAGCTCCAGTGTGTGAGTTAAGCAATCTAATTAGACTCCTTCCAATCTGTAGGATAGCAGGATGTATGCCTGCGACAGTCTGGGCTTCCTCTGTCCTTTATATTTGTGGAAGCTACTGTATTTAAAAGTAATCATTTATTTTTGGGGATGCAGAGCATAGCTGTGTTTGCATAGGTTGTAATTTCAGCCGCTGCTCAACAAAATCCTAATTATCTGGTTGTTTTTGGTGTGATACCTACAGTTATTTCAAAGTAGCTCCAGTACTGATGCCCATACACTGGTGAGAAGACAGAGTGTGTCTGTGGAACCCTTTGCTTATGTATGTGAGGCTGGAAGAGCCTGGAGAGCGGGTGTGAGAAAGAAAATGTTTGTGTATGTAAACTGTGTGAGAGAAAGAGAAGATGAAGAGAAGGGCATGAGTGTGTGTCTTCCAGAGGAGGCGGATGCCTGTCAGGCAGCAGATGATCCGTGGCGATCGGGTGTCGGCCAGTTTAAGACCCATTACACACTTCTGTAGGCTGAAACCTTAGAGCACCGCACATCATTATAAATCACCACCACTGGAAACACACACACACACACGCCTGAGGGCACAATTGGCCAGCAAAGAGAGGCATATTTCAGGGGCAGGTTAGATCACACAACACAATACAACACACACATTCTAGAGGAGCTTATAGTGTGTTTTGTGTCAATTTGAGACAGAAACTTTGCATTTATCTCCTAGTCCTGTTTTGTTTTTTTTTGTTGTTGTTGGTGTTTTTTTTGCCCTGATGTGTTGCAGTCACACTGAAACAAAATTAGTTGTTTCAAAACCTGGCTGACTTTGACTTGCTCTTGGCTGTGTAATTGAGTCACAAATTTTAGGTATCTTTCTCGCTGAGGGACACATGTAGAGACAATTCCAAGTTGAAAACTGTCTGCCATGGGGCAATGTGTCATGTATTCTGTGTGCAGAACAAATAGTCAGGCACCGTCATGGTCCTTCAGTTTTATGACCTTAAAGAGTCTGTTAAATCTGTTCAGTTTTTTTTTTTTTCTTCTTTGCAACGTATGGTTTTAATTTAAAGTGAAAGACTTTTTCATCTTTTCATTCAAATCAAAGCAGTGAATACTAAGGATTGACACACATGTTTTTCTCAGGGCTGATGCCAATACAGACTATCAGTAATGGATACATGTGTAGTAAAAATTAGTCTTGATGTCAAAATTTAGAATAATGCAAAACTTCCTTAAAATGGCTCTCTGTTTATTTATGTTCCACATATGTTTATCAGAAAACTTTTAAACATTTCTCCCTCTGTGCAGATTGTATGTTACTCGTGACGTGTAAAGAATCAGTTAGGGCTGTGGGCAGAGTGATGACTGCAGCAGAGCCTGCGTAGTGCTTTAGTAAATCAACCTGTTTGATCAGAAATCTGTAATAAAGTTCTGGTAATTGTAAAAATGATCAGTTTTGCATCTGATGTTTTGCGTGAATAGTCATGTTTGATTGCAGTCTATTAACTTAAAGAGACGTCGACGGTTAAACGTTCCTGTCTGGAATTAAATTGAAGACATTTCAGTAACGCTGAAGTCATCTTAGAGCGCCAGGGCAGTCTTCAAACGTAAGTGATGGGACAATTCATTCATTTATGGATTCATTTTTTTCCGTTTTTTTCCCCCTTCATTTGTTCAGCATCATGAAATTGAAATGAAATAATGTATAGGGCATTAAAGTTGTAAGTCTAAGCTTTAAAATTGGCAAATCAATGTAAATATACAAAGAACTGTATTTGAGATTCAGCCCTTCACCACATAATGCAAACATTGCAAGGGTTCAAAAGTCATTAGACGTTTGGCTACAACATGTTTCTTGGACAGCTATTTGTCTTTTTTTTTTTGGACAAAAGTGTTCATACAAGGCTCAGAGTTCATTGAGAATCCCAATTTAGCTGAGGTGGAGTTGCCTGTAGAAATGAGTAAAGAAGCGACCCTGCAAGGGAGGAGGGTGATCATGAGGCTCAAAACAAAGCAAACATCTATCAGAGAGCTATCAGAGGTAGCAACAAAAGCAACAGATGAGATCATTCTAAAAAGCTTCTACTCAAAGGGGAAAAAGTTGGTCGAACAAGGAGCACAAGTCTTGTGGATGATGGAAAAATCATTTGCATTATATAGATAAACTTCTTTATGACTGCACAGCAAGTGAAAAACACTCTCAGATGTTGACAAACATGTTTCATTGTCTGTGTAAAAAAAAAAAAAAGTTAGAATTTCAGAGGATTCACCACAAGATGCAAACCCTTAGTAAACCTGAGAGACAGAACGATGGCAGTTTACAAAAAGAAACCTGCAGAGTTCAGGAACAAAGCTGTGTGGAATGATAAAAGAAAAACCAAACTATGTCAAGATGATGAATAAAGCAAATTGTAGAAGAAAAGAGCAGCTCATAAGTCAAAGACGGTGACGCTTGAGTCGTGGTCTGGGCAGGAATGGTTGCCAGTAGAACCGGTTCACCAGCTAAATGCACTAAAACTCGTGACAACATTTCATTTTATGGCTAGAATATCTTTGACTCACCAAATCAATCAGTTGATCAAAATCTGATCAGGCTGCAGTTTCATGTGTTAAAGACCCGATTAGAGGCAGAGAGATGCCACACGATGCTGGACCTGCAGGTGGGAGAGCATCACCAGGGAAGACACAATCTGTGAGTCCTCAGGTAGACATTCATTTGTTTGACTCCATGTGTATTTGTCCAGTTAACCACCTAACTGTTAACAGTGTGTTTAACATCTGCCACACAATTCTTTCAATATGGATGGGACAAAAACGGAAAGTGAAAAATGTGTAAATGTCCAAATGCAAACAATCGATAGCTTCATCCTCAGTACTGACATGTTAGCATGCTCTTACTGGGCTTCTCCCCTGTTCCCTCCTGATGGACCTGTGGAGATCTTTGGGCCCCCTTTTGGGAACAAGTTGAGGCTTCACAGCAGACACGGAGGCTTTATGGGCTGTGTACATGTAAGCAGGGTGAGGTAACACACACAAAACACACACAGTGTACGCCCTGGGCCTCTCATGAGAACTTAACATGCTTGTTCTCTAAAGACCCACTCCTCTGGGACACACACACTCACACAAAGACAGGCATGTAAACTCGCTCTCAATCGTGACACGTACTGTACATGGAATCAGATTCTCTTTCTTTTGGACGCTCAACCATGAAGTGCAATCAATCTTAAAACGCTCACTTTTACTTGTGTTCTTTCTCCGAACACACACACAGAAAAGCCTCTCAAAGACATGCAAACTCACCCTCAATCACTGTGGCAACACACAGACTGAATCCATTCTCACAGACAGATGGACACACACACATACACACAGAGGCTCGGAGCCCACAGAGATAGTGAGATGGCCCCTCTGTGCCTCTTTAAAGTGTGAAATCAATTTCCCTCGGCCCCGGTGAGGCTCAGGTGCTAAACTCATCTCTCGGCACCCCCTCATCTTAATTCAATAAGCAGACGCAGGGAGAGCGAGGAAGACTCTGGCCGTGATGTCACCCCTAGCAGTGGCGATGACGGGCGGGCGCACTGCCAGCGAGGGGGCGGGGCCTTAAGTCGAGTCCAGACATATTACCTGGTGAGGGATTGGTGCGGAGACGGCGCACACGCAGAGCACAGCAGAATGTAAACACCAGCAAATTCCAGAACAATGTTCGAGATGGTACTTGAAGTCAGTTTGTAATTTTTTCTAAACCTTTATTTATACAGGAGAAGTCAGCTGAACACACACACACACACGCACACACACTCTTCAGTAACACAGTGAGGCAGTGACAGTCGGTCACACCTGCACAGAGCTGCTGCAGTCCTCTGCTGGCTGAACATCTGCACCACAACAGAGCAGCTTTATCAGGTTTCCATTATTACAACTTACATTTCTTTGACACACAAAAAAATGGACTAAACAGTTAGTTGTGCTTTTTTGATTATTAGTTACAGGACTGTTTTCACCATCAGTTGGGCTACAGGCCACAACCTTTTAATTCATTCTTTGATCTGGAAAATATCAAAATAAAGGGAAATACACAACTCCTTCTGATGTCAGTCCAACTGGCAAAAACCTTGAAATTTCACACATAAACAAGAGAAAAAAAACTAATTTGAGAAGGTGAAACAATCAACAACTGATCTTGACAAATGACTGATGGTCACTCTTTAGCCATTGATTCAGCCCCTAAAAACTCATCTGTGTAGCAGATTTGTTTTTTTTTGTTTGTTTGTTTTTCCATGAAACGAATTCTTTCCTACCCTTAATTGGTTTAGTTTGAACTCTACACTGTTGCCTCTTTTAGAATGTGCAGATCTTTGAAGGTCTTTACACCAATGAGAACTGACTGTTTACTAACAGCTGAGAGACTCCAGACCATGACACGTCTTTTGTTACAGTATAATCAGTGTTTTTCATTTCTGAGTGGCCAGAATGTTCTGGCTCATCAGTGTATGTCCAGACTCTACTGACGTATTTCCCTTTATAGACATGAGGAACAAGACATTGCTGGCTTCATCTTCAGTCTATTAAAGTGAAAATATTGTGGCATTCAGACTTTGGTCCCTCTAATGATAGCGTTCCTTAGCTTCATTCAGACGAACCCACCACAGTAACAGGGGGCCACGCCACACGCAGGATTTGCAATTATACATGCAGGATTGTACAACAGATCAGGTGATGGATAAGACGTAATACTGCGCTACAGCAGCCTATTAACTGTGACTGTGTGTGACAGAAAGAAAGAGCACAGTGTGAATAACTGTTAGATCCTAATCCATCCTGTCTCCATGTCAGGGATCATTTATATTTATAATTAACTATTGAAGTTACTGCTGTTGTTCCACGTGCACTAATGCGTGCAGCTCTCTGGCTTTAGAGGCACTCTTGGATCCTCCTGCCCTCTGATGCTGCAGGTGTTTAATAAACTCAGAGCAAAGACTCCTACATCCTGCTGGAAGCAACAAAGTGAAGTGCAGCTCCTGTTAATGTTTGGTCAAAACCTGGATTACATCCATCATTAATCAGTAATCTGACTTGTTTTGGCTCTGGGTTCATTGCAGTAAAGTGTTATTTTCATGGACGATACAGTTTGTAATCGATATGATGTTGTCGAGCAAACTGAATGATTTTTGGCAGCAAACTGTGTCTTTTGCTCCAATATTGGAAAAATCCTTCCTCAAACTACATTATTTGTGTGTGTCTGTTTTAATGTGACCGCATGCAGTTCAGACATGTACCGTGTATAAAGTGACACTAAAGTATGACCAGGTCTGACATAGTAATGTCACTGCAGAAGAGTAAGCAGGGTGCGCATTCAGACCTGAAGCCAGAATGGAGTTCATGTCTGAAGCAGGTTTAAGTCTGGTTTACTACAAATGTTTGTGTAGATTGGTTCAGCACAAACTAAAGGCGTGCTGCTAAAATGTTTGGACGTAGAGGTCAGCTGTTTGTTACAATACTGAACTTTAAACAGTATGAACCAGACAGACAGCTCCATCTGTGCTGTATGTTTTAAACCACTGTCTTCTCTGTTTGTATTTTGCTTCATGGAGCTACTCAACTGTAGCTGTAAGACCACAACAGTCAACACCTCTAAATCAGTGCTTTGGAATTGATTACATTCATAATGTTGCTAATGATGGACTCTCACAGAGGCAGAGAGGTGTCATGAAGGAATAACTGATGCTAGGATTACTAAATCTGTGCATAAGCACTAATCCAACTAAACAATAAGAAACATCAACTAATGTTTAAGGGTAGAAACGATCATTTAAAGTTGGCATGTCATGAACGAGCTGCTTTCTGACAGCGATACATGGATCAACTTGGTGACCTGGATTTTTCCTGTTGAACAATGTTGTCTTCGATGCACCCAAACAAATGTTGACAGAAATAAAATGTAGCTCCACGTGCGTACAGATGATTAATGTGACAACACTAATAACTCAGGAGCAGAACTGAGTTTCCTCTCTGCACACAGGCTCATCCTGGCCTCTGTAGAATCCCAAGTGATGTTATTTACATATCTTTTAATGAATTAGCTCGTGCCAGCTCTGTGTGGTCATTCATCCAATGACACACCACAAAAAGCCCATTATTGCTCCTCGCTGCTCTGGAGCTGCAGGCCAACATGTCCAATCAGAGCCTGGACATGACATTCGTTTAGCTGAAAGTAAAACAGTATGCTGGCAGCGCTGGCAGCGGCTGTGTCAGAAAGGCACCGACTCCCACGTCTGATTTTACGACACAACAAGGTGTGTTTTCTTTTCTGCCATCAAACAGCAGTTGTCTGGAAATGTAGACACAATAACCTAAACGCTCTTCTCACGATCACAAGATAACAATGTGTGAGATTCCGATGTGGGAATCATCTGAAGCAGACTCACTATGCTGTATGTAATGGCAGCAGAGAATCAGTGCAACACCCCAGTGGAAGACCAGTGTTAGTCTGCAATTGATTTTTACTGCAGCTTCCCTCTGTCTGCACACAATGGAACAAATTAAAGGAGTGTGTTCAGTGTGTGATACAAAGTGTGTTTGTGTGTGTGTGTGGCTAGAGGTGAGATTTAGGAGACAGTGAGTGTGTACAGCCTGTCTGAGAAGCTTGTGTGTGTGTGTGTGTGTGTGTGTGTGTGTGTGTGCCTGCGTGTGGGCGCTGGACGTCTCCTTTAAAATGAACAGCTGATGAAGTGTGGGTGTGCAGGCTGATGGCTCCTATCATCAATCTCTCATCTCTCTTTCGTCCAGCGTTCCTCATCTTACTCACCCCGCCGTCGTCTTATCTTCACTGCACTGTGCAAGTAGCAGATACTCTGCTCCTATTGGCTTCCCGGAAACCGGTAAAGCTATTCTGATTGGCCAAATTGAGGCGAGTCACATTCCTGATGTTACAAAGCTTTTTTTTTTCTTTTTTTTAAAATGCATTTTGATGCTCCGAGAGCCTTTTAAGATGACTTAAATCCCAATGAATTTTCCAGGATGCTTGACACCTCATCAGCACACAACACATTATGAGCACACTGGACGTTTTTTGCCACATGTGAGTTTGTGCCTCTACTTTTATTTACTCTGTTTAAAAAAATAAAAAGTCTTTTTTTCCCAACCCTTTCAACCCCCACACCCAATGACAGATTTGAAAAGTACTGTACTGTATCTTACTTTTTTCTCTTTTTTTTAAGCCAAAATTCCACAAACAGTCAGAAGCTGTATAAACAGAAGAGAGAATCTGTAGATTTTCAACTTTCTGACAGTCATTGAACTCATCGTGTATGAGGTATGATTCCATCAGGAAAATTAATCAAATTAAAGCATAAAATTGTGATATTGCAACAGACCCTCATTCAAAAAATTTTCCCCCAAAAACCATTTGCACCAGACACTAAAAATGCTGCCCTCCTTTGTGCAGCTGAGAGCTGAGCTGTGACCGACAGTCACAAGAGGAGAAAAAAAGTCAGTGTTTTCAGATAAACTGCAGTCTGTGTTTCCACAGAGCAGAGAGAAAACAACAAGACTGAGAAGAAAATAAAATGTACTGGTTCACTGCAGCATGGCTCAAAAACTGTTAAGAGGAGCAAGTTGCTGGACGATACCTTCAGCCTGGTGAAACATCCTGCTGAGGTTGATGAACAGAGTAAATGAGAAAATGCAGTTTTGTTTTGGATAGGTGTAAATAGTTAAATATCTATAGTTTGTCCTGATGTTTTCCCAGTATTGGTAACACCTGGGGGCACTTGGGAAAAAATATACATGTTGATTACAGGTTTTTTTCAATTTTAGTGAAAAAAAAAAACATTTAAAGAAATTAAACTTTCTCCTTGTTACAATATATGGCATGTAAACAACACAGAAGATGATGAAGAAGATGTCTAAGTTCCCTCTACTTCTTGTCAGGGTTGCATTGTTTCTGTAGAGGTGCAGGACTTTCTACTGCAGTGAAAAATGAGCCCAGAGTGAATTAAAACGTGCCTGGAGTTTAGTTGGTAAAAGAAGAAAAACGCAAAGACATTTTTACTGTTGGCAATTTAAGGATTGTCTATTTATGTATTAAAATAAGGACTTTTTTTTCTCCATGATGGATTTAGATTGGGCTTTTTAAGGAAGCAGAAAAGGAGCAGAATGTTTGTAATAATTTATTTGTCATGTGAATTAGATCCTTGTGCAGAGCCATAGCACCAGAAGGATCTCCTGTTCGCTGAGCTCGTACTTACTGACAAAAGATTTTGCTTACTTTTTGAGACATCCTAAAACTTGGATTAAGAAGCTTTTAGCCAATCACATGAAGCCGCATACCCAGTAATCCCTCATGTATTTTGCATCCTGGCCAACAACTATTTTGTGCTGCAAGACGATGCTGTTGATGCTGCTGTAGTTCAAATGAACAATGTTCTGTCTCCACACTGCTCAGTAATAAACTCAAAATACAGACAGAATGCACATGAGCCCATTATGCAAGACAGGCATTGAATGTGTCAGTGTTTTAATTTGTCACCCATTTTAGAAAACAAAGTGATCATTCTGTTCGGATAAGATCTTAATTTATCAAGTGCCTCATGGAGACAAACACTTAAAAATGTAAATGTGAAGAACGTTTAAGGTCACTGATGGCACTGAGCCCTCCGTCTGTCTTCCTGCAGGGTCGATGGGGACGGGAGGCCGCATCTGCAACCGGACATCCCGCGGCATGGATGGCTGCGAGGTGATGTGCTGCGGCCGAGGCTACGATACGTCGCGCGTCAGCCGCACCACCAAGTGCGAATGCAAGTTCCACTGGTGCTGCGCCGTCCACTGCCGCGACTGTCAGCAGCAGGTGGACGTGCACACCTGTAAGGGCCAGACGTGAGCTGGCCACCGCCGCCGAGCTCTACTGACATTGAAGCAGCAGATTCACTGGGAATCCAAACTACTGCTGAGCTACTGATTTGTCACCTTGTTCTAAGTGACAATCAGACAGAGCTCATCTTTAGCAATAAGCCCTCATTTCTGTGGCCTTTTAAAGACCAGCTGTCAATCAAACAGTAGGTAGGTTTTCAACTGCTGTCTTTCTGCTGCTCTTCTCCTGTTTATTTCCAACCAGATGACGAGACAGAACTTCCGTTTCCTAAAGGATGCTGCCTGGAAAGAGCTCTCAGACTCTTCAACTGTTGATAGATTAAATGACTTAACAGTAGCGAGCTGTGTTGCTTTCAAAGTATATCTGCTCATACCTGGTTTCTAAAGGCCGAGAGTTTAAAAAAAAAAAGTTGGTCCAGGCAAACACGTCCTCTTAAAAGCCACTTCAGGTTCCTGCTGACCATCAAATGCAGATAAACAGAGATGGAAATGATCAGCTTTGATGTGGAGGCTCAGGGTGAGATGGTGAACTATGACTAACAGAGGACTGCAGCCAGAGCAACCAGGAATAGTTAAACCATCACCATAATAATTTGCTGTTTTCTGTCATTGGAAGCTGTAATTCTGATTTCACTGGTTCTAAGTCTGTCCTGAGCTGCACATCAGTGGATAAAAATCTAATCTCTCCAACTGAACTCTGACTCAGGACATCACACACTGCTTCCATGTTTAAACACAAAGGGCCTCCTGCAAGAACACTTTGAGTCTAATCCTCTTTTCTTTCATTGCTCGTACTCTATTAATTGAACAAACGCGACAGAAAATGTTTCATCCAGATGAATGTGATCCTTAGAGTTCATTTCTGATCCATCAAATTACCATGTAAACCCGCCTGTTCCAGTTTCATTCACAAAAATGTTCCCAACAAGCAAAATCTAAATGTTCACACCACAGAGTGTCCACAGGGTTGTGTTACATCTGAGCTGCTGACTACATGTGGTCAGAGCAGCGGTACACTGGGACAGAAACAGAGCTTCAATAGAGACTGGAGAAGTTTCAGTGACATCCAGCTGGTAGCAGACCCTGAGGTGGGAACACCTCGGGATCCCCCAGGAGGAGCCTGGAAAGCAGAGAGGAGTCAGGAGGAAGCAGCTCTGGATAAACAGCAGAAAACACGATTTAACAGCTACAAAGCAGATTTGTAAAGACAGCCACAGCAACAGGAACAACTGATAACAGCTTCTTGTTTCCTCAGCAGGTGATTTTACACCTTCAAGTGTAGAGAACCAGAATAGAAAAAAGTATCCTGAGAACATGAGAGAGGTTTTTAATGGCTGCTACTGACATGTTGTACCTTAATATGCCAAAAAAAAAAAGATTAGAATGATCAGACTGGCATCTAAATTGGAACTTTTTGCATCGCCAAATTCTCTTAAATCACTCACATGTGCCACTTAAGAACTAATCTGCTTGTATAAGTGGTTCTTGCAGGAGGTCCAAAAAAATAAAAATAAAATAAATCAACCAGCTTGTTCCAAGTCTCTTCAGAAGTGTCCAAAATTTGCATCACAGTTGAAACCAGACAGGACTTTGTTGTCTAAATGAATCAGATGCATAGAGGATGGAGCTCTGTAAGCAGATGGCACATCTCACAGCACTGGACTCATCGGGATGATTCCTGAGACTGGAGAACACATTCAACAGGGTAAAAAGACAAACTCAGAAACCGCCAAACATCTGACTGCATGTGTTTGTACTGATGTAGGAAGACATTAAGCCTTAAGACCCACTTCAAACACATGCTGCGCAGATTTATTTTTATATGTTTGTCCTGCCTTCCAAGCAGCAGCCGTTGTTTTCTGTTCACTTCGCTGTGTCAAGAAGATCCACTAAATTAGCACCATTGACAGACTGAGCTGAATGTGTATTAATAATCTGTTGACGGAGTTTAAAATGCGTCCTTACAAAGTCTAACCATGAATGTTGGGTCCTTCATGTCTCAGATACAGAATGCAAGTTGGTATCAAACTCACTGCTTCACCCTTGACTAGTTGGATGCAGACAGAACTCTTCTTGTACCTGTGGATCAAAACATATTTAACAAACGTGTGAAGGATTCCACAGACGACAATAAGAACCCACCAGCCTGTATTTCCAGCAGTAGCTCAACTAACAGCAGCTCCAGATGATCGGCTGTATTCAGGCTTCACTGTGGTTGAGGCAGCTGAAGCGCCGAGCTGTTGTTGCGTCCAGTAAAAACAGCGGCTAAATCAAAATAGCGGGAAGAAGCTGGCTTGCAGCAATACACAAAAAGTCCTTTATTGTATTTTTTTTCCTTTTCACTTTTTTAATGATGGCAATTGATCACCTGTTTTTGTACAACAAAAAAACAGCTTTAAATGATTGAAAACCCAAAAAATGCAAACATATCAAATAAAGTCAAAACCAATTCTGGATGTCACTGTTTTGCCTTTTTGTTTCACGCCTCCTGCTCTGTTCTCCATTTGGTTTGAACTCCATGATCTTGGCACAAAGGGTGTGTCAGTCTAGTCCAATGCAGCGTTCTGGGTTTCAGTTCAGCTGTTTCAGTCCGGATGGAGGTCTGCTTTCCATGCTGGTCCTGGTTCTGATTCTAGTCCGATGGGTCGGGGTCAGATGCGGGTGAGTTGGTGCCAGAGGCTGGACGGCAGGATGCTCTCCACCTTCTCCATGATGAAGTTCAGAGGAGCAAACAGCGTGCTGAGGAACTGCAGGGAGAAACACAAACACGATGTTGGTACACACTTTAAAAACCTTCACGAACCACGACACAAAGCAGCAGTGTTCAACTCAAATGATCCAAAACTGCAAAACGCAGCACATCCTCACTCTGTACAAGCCAGAAGCAAATCGATTCATCTCATTTCTTCATAGATGCCATACACAACTATTTCAATGACGCATCAAAGTTCATGTTTGACTTGAACACTGTACCATGTCTTCATTAGCTAAAAGGTGAAAGATGAACTCAAAGGATTCTGATGAAGACCATGTGACACAGCTGAAAGTGCCAGTAAAAGCTGTAAAGTGGATACAGATACTGAGTTTGTCAAAAGATTCTTTATAACAACAAAACAAAATCCACACATCAGTGAAGACTTTGTGATGGTTAACAAAAGGTCAGCAAGCAAAACTTGAAGTTGGGATTCCCCTCATAGAGAGGATTCATTTTCTGGAGATTGTCTGATCCATTATTATCCAGTTATTTAAGGGTTGGTTTACAGAAACTGACAGAAATTTCTATAAATGATGCTGTTTTTTTTGGCATAAACAGATTTACATTTCAGGGGAAACAAAGTCATGCAAGTTTATTTATTTATTTATTTTAAATATCTTGTTAAGCTGTTAGTCTCAAAAACAGATTCCAACAGTCAGAGTTTCATATGCAACACCTGAGCAATCAATCCTGTCAACTCGCAGGATGGAGTTTTCTGTATCATTCTTCTTCCTCAGAATCAGAAGTATGACTGAATCCAGTGTTATCCAGTATTACAACTTGCCACTGTGTAGCGCAGACTAGTTTTGTAGTGTCTGGCAGAGCCACAGGTGAGTTGTGTACTCTCGCTGTAGTTTTACATTTAAGCCATTTAGAGGCAGGACAGGATTCTTTTAATGGAAAAGAAAATCCAAATATTTTACTTTGATACGGAGAGATGACAACGACCAGCAGGAGACTAAGTTAAGCCAGTTCTCTTTAGTCATAGTCAGGTTTGCATCACCTGACCTGAATGCTGAGCTCTGATTCGGTGAACCAATTTGTCAGGTTTTGTTCAATCATAACACTGATATATGTAAATCAGAAGAGTACTAATTCTTAGAACATATGTACTAAATTCCCCATTTTAAACCAACAACACTGATCTGTGTTATGGGGCACTAAACCATCTATTACTTTAAGTCCTGCAAACAAACACTTTTCTCAGTGTGTGGCGGCTGCAGTCGTTCCTGCGAGCTCAGTGCAGCTTGCTGTCAGGTCGATGTTGTGGCAACAACCGGTGAAGAGAAGCCGGAGGGGTGGAGCAGCTGAGGGGGGATAGGGGCTCCACTGGAGCGACATGGAGGTCACAGAGGTTCCCACTTTGTCAGATGGCAGATAAAAGCCACCAGAGGGTCTGTGGAAGACAGAAACGCTCCACCTGCATGTTTCTGCCTGGTAGCTGGCGGTGTGGTGTCTGCCTCACACATCTCAACACACATCTCAGCTTCAGCTTCAAAGAGCACTTCAAAGTGCTCGTGTGTGTTCTGCCTTTGAACTGTGTGGGCAGCAGGAAGAGACCATCCTGCTTCTGTCCATACTGACCTTAATGATGGAACCATCCTATGATCTACATTTATACACACTGTATATGTTGAAGAACACTGAGCTTTCTGCTTGTGCCACTTGTTCTACCTCCACATAATCAGGTAAGTAGATCTTAAATGTGAGAAAAGACAGCTGGTCGCTATTTTGTGTGAACAGATCAGTGTTCAAGTAAAAAAGCACTAATTTGACACTCAAAGGAGCCACTGAGTGATCAGTCATGGTTTAAAACATTTTTAAAGTAAATCAAATACAATCTCAAAAAATAAAGGGTAACACTATTATTTCAACAGTGCCTTCAGAAACTTGAAAGCAATTTATAACATACACTGATTTCTTTGACTGTTTTCTGCACTTCTGTGAGCACAAGCACACAACATCCTTAGAATGTAGCGTACAGACAGCAGGTCGTGTTTCCACATCACCAGTCAGGATTCAGTCTATGCAATGAAGTGATCGTTTCAGCCTGAATGTTAGCCATGCATATTAGTTAAATATTATTTATTGTGCTTCAATGGATCTCTCCTCCTTAAATATATAGACGCAACTGTTGTCAGCAGATCCAAGATTTTGGCAGTGAAGAAGTATGCATGGAACGAAGTGTCCTTGGGTAAGACACTGAACCTGAAGTTGCTCCCAATGGCAGGCAGCACCTTGCATGGCAGCTCTGTCACCATTGGTGTATGAATGTGTGCATAAATGTGTGAATGAAAAACACATTGTAAAGCGCTTTGAGTGTCGCTATATAAGTGCAGACCATTTACCATTTACCCGTCCTCCTGGCCCTGCCACGACTATGTCACGTTCCCTCTACCAATACATGTGATGGAATATCGGAAACTGCAGCTTCAGAAACCAACCTGGGTTACATTCTCTTCCTCTCTGGTGAAGAACTTAGGAGCACCAATGCAACCACTGTACAAAGCCCTGAGGGGTGTGTGTGTGTGTGTGTGTGTGTGTGTGTTCGGTGCAGTGCTCCAGCTCTCAGCAGGTAGATAGTATCTGCTGATAAGGTCACATCAGAAAAGAGGGATGAGCTCAGTCACATTCCAGGAGAGCAGCACAGCGCTGCAGGTCTGCTGGATGGGGGTAGACGGCTCCACGTTAAAAGAGGAACAGCTCAGTGTGGCTTATTTGTGTGCGAGGACATTTAGGCATATAACCTACGAGCCCACATCACCATTTTGGCACGACAAAACGGTACAAAAACTGGAACCAAGACTTGCCATACTTGCCACACACCAACTTCTACTGATGACAGAGGCCTCAAAGGTTGGTCAGATGTCCACAGACTGTATTTTTAGATGTAAATATGAATACATCCATATGTATACTAACACCACCCCGTTTGAATGTTTTACACCTTTTGTTTTGAAGGACCAAGATTTAAAACTTTTGCCTCTTTTGGGAGTTATTCAATGATTTGGCTCTGCTAGAAATACTTTTGTCTGTGTCCTCACTAAATTCCATGGTTGTGGGAGTTATATTCTAGAGATACTGAACCCTTAAAATTGTTTACCACGTAAGATGTTTGACGGTGAAAATACAAAAATTTCCAGCTTGGAAACAGCACAGTCTGACCTGGCACACAAACGGCGGTCATTAAAGATAAATTATTCAAATGAACTGATTATTTTCTAGGTTCTGAAATGGGCTCAAAACTGCATTTATTCATTAAAATCAAGTTATGATGGTGTGTGCAAACTAGACAGTTTAACCAGAGGGTGGTACAAGCAGAAAAAGGTCACAGGGTCACTAGATATGTTATTCCATCCAGCAGAATTTATGGAAATGAAGCTATTAACTTTCATCATCCATCTTCATTGACCACAGGGTTGGTTAAAGGAAAGTTTCATGTTCAAGGAAAGGTCAGAGTTCAGTCTCTGAAGACCATCCACAGCAACAGACGTGGTAATCTGAATATTAGCTGTGAATTTAAAGTTTTCTCCTCGCATCAAACTTTCTGAACAAGTGCGTGTGTGCGTGCATGTGTGCACACTTACAGCTTTAGCAAACACTCCCATGAGTTCAGGGAACTGGTGTGTGAGCAGAGCCAGCATGGCGGTGAAAGAGCAGAGCCCGGCCGTGAAGAGGATGAAGAAGGGCAGCTCCTTCTTCGGGTAGACTGACACCTCATGAAACACTGCTTCCACGTGGGACACACAAACAAAACAACGTTAGTTTAACGCACAATACTACCACCAGAATTAGACTTTACTGACTGCATATTAATTCATTTTTTTCAAGCCATTTATTTACACAAACACTTTTTCTAAAACTATTGATATTTATTGAAATTAAACATTTTATTGCACGACATTTTTTAGCTACATTGCCCTGCCATACCTGCATTCTTCGTAACAGCCAGCAGGAGGCGACTCCTCTGGTTGTGAAAATAAGCTAAACTGTATCGGAGTCTGTGAGAAAATGACCGTACTTCAAATTTTGTCACATCAGTAAACATTTTCCTGATGAGTTCATGGTCTCACTGGCTAGTTTCAAGTCTCCTTCAATACAGTGTGATGTTCATTTAGTAAATGATGGCCCCATTTAGAGTAAAACATGTGATAAATTAGTGTATTGCAGTGTGTAGTGTGTTGAGTTCTCAGTCAGATCCAGCCCTGACTTGTTACAACACGCCAAACTTAAACCTTCAGAACGGTACTCAGCAAACCAACGGGTGATGTCACGGTTGCTACATTCATACTTTATCTACAGTCTCTGGGTAGATCCCATCATAACAGAGTTGCCATGGGCTTCTGCAGCTCGATGCATTTAGCTTCCTTATGCTGACTGTTTTGCTCATTTTTTAATATTTTGGTACACTCTCCCCACTCTTGTCAACCTCTTTCAATGCATTAGGTCAGTAAATAAAGCTCTGGGATAAAGAGAAAAGGCAGGGGTTGTAAATCTCACAGTAAACTACTATAAAATCAAGAAAAACTTGTGCATTCTGGTAAGTGGAGTTCCTAGCTCCTTAACATTTGACCTGCCTGAACCTCACCTTGTGTGTTAAGTTGCTTCCAGGTAGCTAATGTAGATTCTTTGAGAGGTGCAGTGAGCTTAGACCTTTAAAGATGAAACTCCTATTTGTGCAACAAAAGGTCGATGGCAGCTGTTGTCTATAATGTGAATGTGAGTGTCATTTCATGTTGATATATGCATTTCTAAACAGTTTTTGGTAAAGGGAAGACTGTTACAGGATTCATGGCATAGCAGCAAATTATCATAACTCCCAGTTATTCAACTTTACGTGTTTCCAGAGCAGCCAGGAGATGCATGTGATGTTCATTTTAAGTTCACAACACTTTTGAGTATTTTTGCTCAAAGCCCTGTCCTCTCTCTCCAGAATTATCTCATTATCAGATTACAACCCCGTACTGTGTAGTTCACTGCTCCACAGCTGACCTCACTTAACACAGGCCTGTTGAGACATTACAGACATTAACGAGGCAGTAGCTCAACTTGCGTTTTCACTTATGGAATATTACACCTTAAATGTACACAACATCACAAATCCAGTTGACGAGTCTGAAAATTGACTGATAAACACCTGTGAGTTAACAGGGTCTAAACGACAGGCTGTGTTTTGAGGCTGCAGATGGAGGTGGAGACAAGTATTAAAGAAAAGCATGTTTGACACTGATATGCAAATTCCTTCCTTTTTTCAGAAGGCATTAAGTACATATCTAATAAGAATCTGAGAAGTTAATATTTGCCTGGATTGTTGGTTCTTATTGTAGTTTAATGTTGGTGTCACAAAGGACCTCAGTCAGTAGTCCTTGTATATAGAAGTACTAAACTAAAAACTACCAGATAGGTTCAACAAAGGGCATATCTGTGTATCTCTACATATATGGTTTGACACTTGTTTTGTCACCTTTCTTTTTTCAGCTTGACTCCACGGACTGCATGCTGACAGTCCTCAAAGCTGTCACAGTGGGCCACCTGCCTGGCAAACTGAACAGCAACAGTTTGTCATCCAGGAGTGCGAGAACTGCAACACCTATTTGTTTGACCACTCAGAAACTATCACCATCGATGACTGTGTCATTTGCCGTATTTTTCTAGGACCTGTGAAGGGCCCTGTGTTCGTCAGACACTGTAAAGCCATTGAGTGCATGGTAGCTTGTCTGCAGTGTCACACAAAGGTTGTAAAAAGATGGAGGTGTTTTTGTGCTGTCCCACTCAGCTCACCATGGAGTCATCTACGAGTATGAAGTTCAGCTGCTTTCAGTCCTACTACCCTGAGCTGGCCTTCCACTCAAGCTCAGCATATTCAACAACAACTGGAGCTACAGCCACGACTTCATGTTGATGTCCAGACAAAACAGCTGGAGCTTGTTGCCAGAGGCTTTAGCAGTTCTGGATGAGACACCAAACGCTGAATCTGAATGCAAGTCAGTTCGAATGTCGTGATTGAGTGAGAGTGTGAAGAGGTTTTATTAGTTGGGCATCATTAGATTTTTAGTGTTCTAGTAAAAAGAGGACATGTGAATTGTAAAATGCTGATTGAATTATTATTCAATGAATTGAAAAATGATCAAAAGCAAGGATTAATTATTTGCAAAATTAAATATTCAGAAAATGTAATCATGCTTTAGCATCCACTGTTCTTGGAGCAATTGAAAACACACACAGTGTGATCTAATGCTGGTCATCTTCCAAATAAAAGGAGTTGCGTCATCACTGAAGCGTGATTACTGCCGGCTAAAAAGTGGTCTGAAGATGGCATTTCTTATCAAACCAGGCAGCTCTGTCTACTGAATACATGGAACTCCATTCAAGCAACCATGAGTCTGCAGACTAAAAGTCATCCCCCTTTATTCAGAAACATTTGCTGTAAACCACTGATCCATTAGTTTCTAAGAGTGCTGTGAATATTTCTATCACCATGAATGCATTTAGTTATTCAGTTGCTTTTATCCATTGAGAATTCAGCTCCTTGCTGTAAATGTAATTGAATTTTGATTTAAAGTGTTATGTATGTAAAGTTGTATTTTTATTTCTTAAGACGATGTGTTTGTGTATGTGTTTTCATCAGCCAGGCCAATAATCTGTCCCTCTCTAAACTTAACCCCTGCAGAGTACCATAAGCAAGACAAGGAGGTACTTTTTATATTGTCTTGCCAGGAAAAACACACTTTAATCCCATCACAAACTAAAAAGTAACTGACCAATGAATTTTCTAGAGGATACTTGGTTGGCCTTTCTGGATTCAGATTTGGTGGCTAAACACAAACCTGAGTGTAAATGAGAAGCATTTTTGAAGAAAACCATAAAGTTAACACCTTCTAATCAGGTATGTTGAGTCTACAAAATTCTGACACTTAAACTTCAGATTGTTTAGATGCAGCTGAACTGACAGGCAGGCTCTTTAATAACTCAGAAACATCTGAAGGCAGCAGAGTGGTTGCATGTAAACTGCACACTGTCATGCAGACATGTGTGATCAGGCTACTGCTAACATACAGCTCTATATGGTCTCCAGCCAAACATACAAGAAGTGCTCTGCGCTTGTACCAGAGGAAACACTCTGCTACAGCTGCTGCTGTTTGTGTACACAAATCCACGGTTTACTTTGTCATTTATGTGTCAGTTCTGTTTAATAGGGCAACTTTTAAAAAGTTTATAACTTTTAGAAACACACAGCACAGCATGCTGCTGCTGCTGCTTCTTGTGGCGGGAGGCCAACTTAATCAAATGAAAGTTTGTGCGTGAGGACAGACGAGCTGCTGAGCAGACAGCAGGACGACACAAACTCCACATCAGCTCACAGTCAACCACACAAACACACACACCAGCGTGTGGTCAGTGCTCTGGTGAGGAATTTGTCTCATCATAAGAAAATGAACAGATCAAAGCCCTATTTTTAAAAAAAATGTAGCTTTTACAAACTGCTTGGCTTCTCGTCCTTGAAAAAAAAGGGCATCATAATTAATGAAGGATATCACTGCAGTGACTACGTTTTTAATTCATCTCTACAATTGCATGGCAACGCTCTGCTCTAAATAGGACAATGTGCAAATAACTAGCTGATGATAACACATCCTCTCTATAAGGGCACTGTCCTATGTATCAGTATCAGATATAGGAGAGGTGGTTTTAAGCGGCCACATGTTGCTTTGGCAGAATATCAGACCAATTCACATTCAGTTATGACACTAAATGAGGACTGTGTCAGCGTCTAACCAGCTTTTCTCTCTACTTTGCCATCCATCTATCCATGCTGTCTGTATCCTCTGACTGCCAAAGGAGCTGGTTGATCTGCAAGGTGGCTTTTAGGAAAGAGAAACCCTGTTAAACATCCAATATTCGCAAATGATCACCATAATTCACTGTACAGCTGCATTTTTTATAGAGTTATTAGACCTAATGGTGCAAGTGAAAACATATTTTAGTCATTATTTGAATTACTAAGACCAAGTAATACTGAAGACTGAATCTGCCGGTCGGAGTTAACCCTTGTGTGCCATCCTAGAACACAGGCCAACGCACAACACCTGCCATTTCAACTCTCAGGATGACAAATGAAAAATAAAACAGGACTATTTTGCAATAGTGTACGCATCTAAATCAATTTTCAAACATATTCAGAGCATTTTTTTGCTTAGACTAATGTGTGCGTGTATGTCAGGGCGTCTCTTACTGGGTAGCAGCTCTCTGTCTGCCGTCTCTGTGCAGATGGGGTAGGGATAGAACAGGTGACCCTTCTCCAGAGGATATGGGATCATTCTGAATGCTACAAACACACAACAAAACAAACAAGAAGCCCTGGCATTAACAAAGGGCTCCAGACACCTGGTGACCTGAGTAATAATGAGCACTGAATGTTTTTCATGCAGCCGGTTAAGAGAACATTTACAATATTTCAGCTTTGAATGAAACTGCTCATGTGTTACTCAGCTGCCACTGGAGTGTTTTTACTGTAATAGTGTGAGCATTAGTGTGTACTCACTGCCTTCCCAGGTGCAGTGCAGCAGGTTGAGCGCTCCCTCCACCCTTTTCCAGTGCTGCAGGTGGAAGAAGGCATAAGCGATAGCCTCACTGTCACCTCTCTTCAGAATGTGTTCTGGAGGAAGAATCAGACTCTTCATCTCCAGCAGATACTGAGGGGGATGAGAGATGAACAAAGACAAATGATGTACAGGAGAAAGAGAATGTGAAAAACAGAGATGAATGAAAGTGCATCTGAACAGCTACTAAAGGCCACGTGATTAAACCAAAACAGCATCCACAGATGCTTTAGCGTGACCTAAGCTAACATTTGTAAACTTCTAATATTTATATACTCAAACTCTGAAGTCACATCCCAATTCAGGCCTTTACATATTAAATTTCTGTATTTTTTCTTTCTCAGATGATCAAATGAACTAACTAACCTCCATTGCAAAGTTTTGTGTATTTTACGCTTTACAGCTCAACTGGTTCTTAAACAGACACAAACAGACTCCTGCCTCCTATTTGTCCTCCTCTTTAATAGTGTAGCTCCTCGTAAACAGATCATCTAAATATTTTAGACTTCTGAGCATGAATGCTGAATCATTCAAAAGAAAACCACAACGCATCTAAGACGAGATTGATTCTCCCACCATCAGCTAGAGCCTTGGCCATACATTAGCATGACTGCCATTATGTATTAGCTGATTTTAGACAGTAAAGTATGTACTATGCATCACACAGAATGATCAGGGAGGTATGTGACCAATCTCAAATTAGAAGACAGTAAGATGACCTACATCCACAGGAGAGCTGTGGCAAGTTCTCCAAGATGTTTGAAACAAACTACCACCAAAAATGTCAACAAATGTAACTGGGAGAACTGGTACTGCTTCAGTTACAACAAATAACCTTTCAGACATTGATTATTTCTGTAATAAAGGCATATCTGAACGATGCGGCTTCGTGTCTGAATGAGCACCCTGCTCACGCACAAGTCTGAACTGCAATTTGAGGAAGGCTTCTTCCACATTTCAGCAATATTGGTCCAAAACATAACACACAGCAGAAGAACACAGTTAACACAGTCAGTCATATTTCATGTGAACCGTTCACCACCTTCATCCTCCAGCAGCTGTCCGACATGGTGAGCACGGTGTATGGTGTGCTTGTGTTTGTGTTTGTGTGTAGTGTCCCTCTGAGACTCACTTTGGGGACGTGAGGGTTAAATTCCACCGCTCTGTGGATGGCTTCTACTGCGTTCATCTCTGCTGTGCTGAGCCCTCGCCTCGACGCTGCCTCTGGAGAGAACCTGCATGTGTACACAGACACACACAAAACAGTCATGTGACTTGAAACTGCATAACAGGAGCTGATAGGCATTATTTTAAACCAGATCTAATAGTTAATACTAACTGTGCTGCCTTTGAGCATCAAAAAAAATGCCTGACAGGTGAAAGCAACTGCTGGGTGGACTGTCAGCAAACTTGGATTAGTACACATGTGAGGGCCTGAGCAGGAAGATACACCAGAACATCCAAATATCGTTTCAAGGTGTTGTTTTGATATAAGAAAATACTTTACACTCAATGCAAAAGATATATTGAGATGGGCATATGACTGACTACCAAAAAAGAATATGAATAATTTAAGTAATTTTAATAAATATGAAATACATCATGTAATATCGGACTGATCTCTGCAAGCACTGTTTCATTGTATATTTGAATAGCTCACTGAGTATGTATCTGAAAACACTGTCACCACCCTTTTGAGCCTACAGTCCGTAGAGTTTGGGGTTATATTTGGATTCATGAGGAGGGGAGCCCTCCTCAGGTGAAGGAGGAGCTCACAGATCATACTGTCAACAGTGGAAATAGAGGATAGTTCTTCAGTTAAGAACATGTCTGGTTAAAACTGTACAAATTGTGTGTTTCCGGAAAGACCTGTTGCACCGCAAACTAAATTCACTCAAATACACTGCAGTATATACATATAATGAATAGTTTAGGAAACACTGACACTCTTGCCATACATAAAATCATAGACCTCTTTGCATTGACAAACCAGCAAAACTATTTACAGTAACTTATGGCCTGAGGAGAATAAAGTCTGTTTTGTTAGGCTGTTGTGTTAGGTATACTATTTGTTTTGTATTTCCAAAAGTGATTGGATAAATTCATGTTTCATTAACGCCACTGCTGCAAATACTGCAAAAAGAAGAAGCAAAACTGAAAACACTAATAATACACTTCATGGTCGAGAGAAAACAGTATTTGCTGAAAATAAAAAATATAGTGGCAGTTCTAATGGTTTGTCCTGAACACAACTATGTTGTTTCCAATGACTTCTCCATAAGAATTGTGTGTGCAGCACCCCAGCTCTTTGCTTGCAGAAAAGCATATAGGTTAATAAAACTACATACTTGGAGATCATATCGATTCTCCTGCTGGATGCTGCAGTTGGTAAACAAAGCTAAAGAAGGGATGGCAACATTCTACATTTGTTTTTTCACTATGACACACAGTCTGAAAGCAAATTTCAAGATTTGTTTGTGAGCGGGTGAAGCTGTGATACAGAGACAGAGCTCCGGCAAGGTGGCTCAGTTTAACACCTGTGTACAGTGCTGTTTGTTTATCTGAACTTTGCTTGATGAAGGTGTGAAGACTAAAATGTTGTTGAAGTGAGTGCAAGTGATTGACAGCTTACACGATTCTTTGATCATGCACAGCGCAAAAACAATTTAGAAACTGCAACCCTCAAAAAACAAATAAAAAGGGATGGAGAACAGACAACAATAAGTAGAAGCATTAGGTCTTTTCATGTGGGAACTCTGTTTTTATCTATGCAGCAACAGTATGACTTCATTATACACTGCTCAAAAAATAAAGGGAACACTAAAATAACATATCCTAGATCTCAATGAATGAAATATTCTAGTCGAAAAACTTTATTCATTACATAGTGGAATGGGTTGAGAACAAAATAACATAAAAAGGATCAATGTAAATCAAAATTATTATCCCACAGAGGTCTGGATTTGGAATTATACTCAAAATAAAAGTGGAAAATCACATTACAGGCTGATCCAGCTTGAGTGGAAATTCCTCAAGAGAAGTCAGAATGAAGCTCAGTAGTGTGTGTGGCCTCCACGTGCCTGTAGGACCTCCCTACAATGCCTGGGCATGCTCCTGATGAGGCAGGATGTTCTCCTGAGGGATCTCCTCCCAGACCTGGATTAAAGCATCAATCAACTCCTGGACAGTCTGTGGTGCAGCGTGCCGTTGGTGGATGGAACGAGACATGATGTCCCAGATGTGCTCAATTGGATTGAAGTCTGGGGAACGGGCCGGCCAGTCCATGGCACTAATGCCTTCATCATACAGGAACTACTGACACACTTCAGCCACATGAGGTCTAGCATTGTCATGCATCAGAAGGAACCCAGGGCCCACTGCACCAGCATCTGGTCTCACAATGGGTCTAAGGATCTCATCCTGGTACCTAATGGCAGTCAGGGTACATCTGGCTAGCACATGGAGGGCTGTGGGCCCTCCAAAGAAATGCCTCTCCACGCCATTACTGACCCACCCCCAACCCATCATACTGGAGGATGCTGCAGGTAGCAGAACGTTCTCCACGGTGTCTCCAGACTCTGTCATGGCTGTCACATGTGCTCAGTGTGAAACTGCTCTCATTTGTGAAGAGCACAGGGCGCTAGTGGTGAATCTGCCAATCTTGGTGTTCTCTAGCAAATGCAATCTCCCTGCACGGTGCTGGGCTGTAAGCACAAGCCCCACTGGTGGACGTCAGGCCCTCATACCACCTCATGGAGTCTGTTTCTGACAGTTTGAGCAGAAACATGCATATTAGTGGCCTGCTGGAGGTCATTCTGCAGGGCTCTGGCAGTGCTCCTCCTGGTCCTCCTTTACAAAGGAGGAGGTAGCATCCTGCTGCTGGGTTGTTGCCTTCCTATGGTCCCCTCCACGTCTCCTGGTGTAATGGCCTGTCTCCTGGTATCTCCTTCATGCTCTGGACACTGTGCTGAGAGACACAGCAAACCTTCTTGCCACAGCTCATGTTGATGTGCCATCCTGGATGAGCTGCACTACCTGAGCAACTTGTGTGGGTTGTAGACACCGCCTCATGCTACCTCTAGGGCTGAGAGCACTGACAAAATGCAAAAGTGACCAAAATATCAGCCAGAAAGGATGAGAACAGAGAAATGGTCTGTGGTCACCACCTGCAGAACCACTCCTCTATAGGGCTTGTCTTGCTAACTGCCTCTTATCTCCACCTTGTCTGTTCCATTTGCACAACAGCAGGTGAAATTGATTCACAATCAGTGTTGCTTCCTAACTGGACAGGTTGATTTTGCATAAGTGTGATTGACTTGGAGTTACATTGTGTTTTTAGGTGATTCCTTTATTTTTTGAGCAGTGTATATTCTACGTGGTGCACCTGTGCCACCAGAGCACACCACTTCTCACAATAACACTGATCAACCCCCAAGGTGTCCCACTGCTGCTACACCATCACTCAGTTCTATTCTCTCATTCATACTGAACAGGTCCCCAGGGCTATTTTCAGCTGGGTTTTAGACTCTTAAATAGCAGTAGAGGAATGTCAGATCCACCAGAAAGCAATGAAAAGCGATACTCACTTGTCCGATACCGCCCTGGCTTTGAGCAAGGCTGCTGTGTAGCATATTGTTGCAGATTTGGGTAAGCTAATATCTGTGGAGGAGACAAAAAGCAGACATAGACAGAGAGGAGAGGGCATGGTGTTTAGTTAATGCGGTAGAAGTTTGGAATTACAAGTGTTAGAGGGAATGGCTGTGTTTAAGAATACTGCCGCTGCCCAGAGGGGTTTGTCGATGAACCTAATAAGTTTGGGTTTCATGGCTTGGGAGTGTTATGTTGTCAAGCCTTAGCTGTTAGTTATCTAACAGTCAAGTGTGTTCTGCTGTACTTTAGATGCAACACGTAAACATAACCCCCCCAACAAGAAGGCAGTCATACACTCCAGAGCTTTGAGATGCTTTAGGAGGAAATGTATCGCCTTCACTAGTGGGAAAACACCTGCTTCATACAACACATCTTAAAAGAGCTATGTTTTTGATTAATTTCCTGCCAGCTAGCTAATTGATAAATTGCTCAGTTCTTTCAGCTCAAGCTGGTACACAGTCAGTAGAAATTGAGACACTTTTTGCTACTAAAATCAATCGAATCTATTAAAACAACATTTGCTACATAAGTGCAGTTAAAAACTAACAAAGCAGTGTACCATAAAATGGGAAAGACTAAATAAAGATTTTATGCCCTTGATATATACTCTCTGGACATTCCTGTGCAGTAAACGTTAAGTAAATTGCAAGTATGGTTGGTTAATATTTTGTGCAGTTCAAGTTAAAAAAGCAATGATGGTTATACTTAAAGCAAACATGCATTTTTTTTTTTTTACAGAAGTCTGTCAGCTCAAAATGATAGAATTACAGTATTTTTGGTGGTTTCAGTGTTCAATTACTCTTTCAGTAACTCCGAAGTGCTGCGTTATTACTACAACCATCGGCACTGGCATCCAGAAGAAACTACCAACAATAAATAGATGTGGTTGTGGATCACAGAACTGTGTCCCTCACCGTCGTACTTGGCCAGAACGGCCTGGACGTCAGCGTAGTTCTGGAGCTCTAGTAGTGACTCCAGTAGGTTCTCGTGGATGTTGAACATACTGAGGAGAGGGAACTCCTTCATTAACTGGAAAACACACAACTGTTGTTACATGTAATACCGGACAGGGGGCGACACATGCACAGTCAGCAGACAAGAGCTTTGGGTCATCACTACGCAAAACTGCCCAGTTACAGTCTTGTAACGTGAATGAATGTCACTGAGTTGTTTTCTGTGTTGTAATTTACTGTATCTTCCTAACTTTTCATCATTTCAGAAATCAAATAAAATTGTGTGTCTTTTTGTGTCTGTCTATCTGTGCGCGTGTATTCTGCTGGCAACTTGTGTACTTACATCTCTCATCATTTTAACTGCTTCTCGTGTTCGGCCAAGCTTTCTGGAGCACATGGCCAGTCTCCTCTTTATATACACCAACACATTGGTGTCTCTTCCTGGTGAAGAAACACAAAAACATCATTTGGCAAAAGCAAAGTACTTTTAGCTTCAGTTGTAATAAAACTGGGAGTGAGCTGGATCAGGTTACATTTTTCTAAAGCATTTCATGTGTACAAGCAACTTTGCAAACTGGAATGTTAAACTTGATTCTCATTTGCCCAAGAAGTGTGTTACAGCATGGATTATACTCACTGTGCTGGGCTTCATACTGTGTACCATGATGTTGGAGCTGTTGGCTGCGGCGATAGCAGCCTTCACCAGCTTTTAGCGCTTGTTTAAACAATCTCTCAGCCTCCATGATGGTGGTGGCCTCCTCCTCTGCCAGCAGGATGTATGCTGTTGCACAGCTACAGAAGGAGAAAGAGACAAAAGAGAAAAGCCAAAGAATTAAAAGCCAACTTTGTCTCACTTTGTCTTATAGATTTACTCATAAATGTACCACCTCAATATACAGTGCTGCTTGTGTGTCTACACAGCGTGGCAACTCTGCAATATAAAACTGCTTCTGCGCCTATGAGTCTGCATTTGAAAGCAGCATCTGACAGAGCACTGATCCGAGAAGGTCTCTTCTGAGTCGACCTGCAGTCACAGCCTTGATACCAGCTGAGAGCAACATGTACTGCTGTCACAATTCCACTGCACTGTCTTTGTTGTCACAGATGCTCCTAAAAATAAACCTACACTTTCATGAAAACAAGTAAAGACATCTTCCCCTGTGAATGATGAAGGCACCCAGAGGGCTAATCTGTGACTAGATGCATTACTGCTCCCACCAACAAATTTTGCAGTTCCCAATGTCAAATTTTGATCTATTGCCCTGAGAGCACGTTTATTATCATTTTGTATTTCGGGATCGAATCAAGATTATGAATTTATTGTTTGCTAGACTTTATAGTTTAACATAAAAAAAGACTTGATAAGGTTCCAGAAAATGCAAATGCAAAGAAAAAGTCTGGAGGTAGAATGACTATTTGTAAAACAGTAGGCGGTAAATAAATGATTTTTGAGTTTAAATGGCTGATAGCAGCAGTTCAGAGACTTAAGGTCAGAGCCCTAATGGCAGCTGACCTGAATCTGATCACCACAGCACCCAAAGATATTCTACCACATAAAATTAAAATAAGGAAAACAGAGAAATAAAGAGGACGTGAACTCACTCTTCAAGCTCTAGAGCTTCATGTGCTGCAGAGATGCGAGCCTGTGGGTTTCTTTCTCTCCACGCCTTCTGCATGACTGCAACCACACAAACACGCAGGAACATATTTAATATGTCACAAGGGTCATATTACTATCTGTGCACATGAATCAAAATACAAGGTTGTATATATTGCATATGCATAAGTTTTCTCACTGGCATCAGCAGGCCGGAGGTGGTCTGAGTCGCAGGTAAAGAAGGTTTGGTGATCTTGTGCTGACAGGTTCATGTCGTAGTATGTCAGCGGCTCTCGACCTGTTACCCATGTATACCTGGATACCAGCACCGTGACAAAATGAGACACGTTAATAATAAGGTACTGATCAACCCTTACAAAATACATTATAAAAACTAATGAAAGAGGTTATACATGGAGCTCAGCATGAAGGCTTATTGGCATAAAAAAAGATAGACTAATCACAACACGAGAAACGGAAAAGTGGACGACTCAACAGGAGGAACAATAGGCAGACAAAAAAAAGAGAACAAAAGATAATAAAGGCTGAAAATCAAAAGGGGGGTAAAGAAATAAAAGACATTAGATAAAGGCAAAACAGAATTTACAAGAAAACGAAGACCAAGAGACAAAACCAAGACACAGAGTGTGAAGCTGTGGGAAAAAAGTATGAAAAGGAAAAGGAATAGTGTAGTAAACACTATTCAGTTTGATAAAGACAAACAAGAGAGGTTGAGAATGAACATGAAAAAGACTGATTGAAAAACAAACAAGACAGAAGACAGATCAGAAAAAGGGAGAGACGTTAACAAACCAAAGCCCCAAACCAGCAGAGACTTTTCAGATGCAGGTAGCTTTACCGCTGTCACTCACCGATTATATTCAGCTCCACGAAATAAATTCAACGGATTTCTCCATACTTTACATTCTGCAGGAGAAAGACAGAGAGAGCACAACACTGGCGATGAGTGTCAAGGGCAAAGCTGACACTGAGCCTGCTCTGCGCACTTCAAAGGGCTCGACTGTGCATTCTGCCATCTACCCTGCAGCTCCCTGACTGGCACATCGATCTCTTTGAGAGTACAGCTGACAGGGAAAAAGCCTTATAACTCCTCAGTGACCAAACGCACTTCTGCACAAACTCTGGCTGCTGTCAGAAAACAGTCACAAGCTTGTATTTTGGCTGACAGTGCCGCACTGAACAATATCTGGTTTTCCATAATGTGGATAACAAGATGCCTTTGATCTTCCAGTAACTTGCCTAGCAGATATGTTACACTTTACAGATCAAGATCAATTTGCTCATCAAGGGCAGTACTGCTTTGCCTGTATAAAAAGCTCTATGTTATCTGTGGCTCTGGAGAAGATGAGACAGGCCCTGACCAAGTAATCAGGCTTTCAAGCTTATGCATAGAAAGCCTGTGTTACAAACCGGGGTGTTGAGTTTTAAAGATCAGGACATTTACCAGACAGGAAAGTTTAAGCCAGTAATGCAGTTAAACTGCACTACAGGGAGTTTGCGTTTTTGGAGCTTGACCCATAAAGACAACTTAAAGGTAGGATTTCAGCCTCAGCTACACTGATTTTGATTGAATTCTTTTCTCCGTTTCTTCTTTAATAATTTCATTTGTAGAATGTTAGAAAGAGGAGAAAAAGACACAAAGCAAGACTCAAACTTATTCTATTAAAAAAGGAAACCCTCCTATTTGCTGGAGCCATTAAATGTTTATTTTGTCTTGATGAACGGATTGTAATGATTACATAATCAATGAACCAACTTTTTATGCCCAAACAATGACAAGTATATACAGATTTCTACTTGACCAAAGAAACAAAATCCACTAAGACTGTACTTTCAAGCTAAGACCCCCAGTAAAAATGCAAGATTTATTTCAGACATGTTAATTTACAACAGAAACTAACCAATCTATGCTGTGTACTACAGTCTTGCATTTCAAGTGCAAAACCATGACTACAAGTGACTACACTTGAACCTGTCCATCTCTGACTTCTCCTGTAACCAAGAACAATAATAAGCTGAAATGTGCATCTCTCACTTGGATGAAGAGATTTACCCAGAGTAGATTATTAGCCTGAAAATTGAGGATTATTTGAAATAATTAGAGCGCCTTTCTTCTCTTGGTTATGGCTTGTTGATTTTAGTACAGCACACATAATCCTACTTAATTCAGAGTTGTTTGGCTGAAAACAAAAGCAGGCTGCATGACGTCGGCACATAGAGTTCAATGACAGGATTCTCTGGAGAAAACTTGCAGAAATTAAACAGACTGGGTGAAGTCATCCACCATTACTATTTGATCTACTTTCCTTTGCAACTTTGGGTTGCTGCTGCTGCTATAGTTTTTTTTTTTTTTTTTTAAATACACAGAAAACACTGGTGTAAAAAAAGAGGCTGAGTCACTCAATGTATAAGTGATGCATATGTAGGATAAATGGTTGCCTGTATAATTCACAATGGAACTAAAGGAGCTATTCAGCACTGAGACATCTCTGCTTTGAAATGAATAAAATTGCGTGGGGGAGCAAAAACACATTCAACGGATTAACCATGATCAAAGTATCACTGATGTAGAACGGAAGCCAGGAAGCTGCGAAGCAGAGCTCACTCAGGGGTGACTGTGGAGGATACCGCTGGACAGACCTGAATTTCTTAGATTGCCTCTTCTGTAGTTTACAAAGCCAAGGATCGGGGGTTCAGTTGTGCATGGCCCGCAGTGTTCTTACATTAAAAGGTACATTTCCTCTTACAACAAACTTTCCTCAGAATAGAAACTGTGTCTTGTCCAAAATCACTTTTCATCGTGTTTCTTTTGTTTTAATGGATTTTGGTTCTGGACACATATTCGAATCTAGAACCCAGGCGATATTCAAATAATTACCAAAGCACCAGGTTATGTTCTAATAAAGTAATTATCTAACAAGTACCACATTAGAATTAAAGTGAAATTTTGGCGTACCTAATCAAGTGTGTGCTCAAAGTATTGTACAGCCTGTATATCAAAAATTTTACGGATATATGCATCTTCTATATTAGATAGAAAATGAACAATATTACCCCAAACTATTGTAAAGTACTACTAAATACTTATAAGGATGAACTGAACTGGAACTAGTTTCAGTGTGTGACAGAAACAGAGTGCAGAGTCAACGCACAGCTCTTGTCATTATAACAATACAAGATGAGGATAATTCTGTATTTCTGCATTCTTGAGTATTCTTAATCTCACGTGGCCCTTTGTTGACAAATAAACAAACTATTGATTCATTTTTTAACAGAAAAGGTCATGCAGACCCTCCTGTGTCATTCCAGTCAAATTTCTGATGAAGACATTTTAACAGGGATGGCTCACACAATTTACCCAGCTGACATATTGCAAAGAAAGGAATGCCATGTATTGTATGTACTGTTCTCAGTGTAACCCAACATTTGTGTGGAAAATGCTGAAATGACAGTAAAGTTTAAGTTCTTGTAAAGCATAAACAGCAGCATGAAGCACAAACTACAGCAAGAGATCCAATCATGGAATTGCACCATTTAAAATAATCGTTTTTCACCTAAAGCATGAATTCACATCGTGACATTTGTGATTTAAAATAACACAGAAAAATTGTGTTTCTGTAAAGTAGCTAATTATTATAAAAGCAGACATCAGTAATGCAGTTAAGATTTGAAAAAAAATGAACGTGTTGCATTGCATGTTGGTGATCTCTTAAATGTTGTGCTGGTGCCTCTAAATTCTAGTGGAAAAAGTTAATCTGGGGCCCAATAAGAAAAGGTGTATTTTCTGATTCACAGCTGAGAGCAACACATTCAACCCAAGCTCATCTGGAAGGAATGTCTCAAATAAACCTCCTCTGGACCCTCATAAGCAGCCTTTAATTCTGTGTCAAAGCATGAACTCATGAAAGTATCACAGGATGACATCATGAATTCAAGTTTTGACGCCCTGTTCTGCTATTTACTCCCAATAGCTGTCTATACCTGTAGCAGTAAAATTAGTTTATAGCAATTCTGTAAAACATCACAGTTAGTATGAAAGCTTTTTCCTAAACTACACATCAAAATCATACTTTCCACTGCCTTCTGCAGGACAGTGGGGTTTGTCTCAGAGCAGGGGAAAAATTGCTGTGACACTTTACACCATTGTTACTGTTGTGTTATTCTCTTTGAAGTTAGCACAGCAGAACCAAACTGAAAAACTATGTATCTCTGCAGCAGTGACCTGCAAAAGAGTGAGGGCTGAAAAGCTGTAGTGAGGAGGGACTCTGGGCCAGTGCTGTTTAGCAGTTCAATCCACAAATGACATCCATGACAGGTACGATATTTAAAGTATCCCTTTATCTGTTCATGCTATGTTGGTGTTTGTGTTCTCATGTTTTGCTGATTTATTGGAAAAACCACATAAGTCTAATTTTAAAAGAACAAAAAGTGAAATAACAGTTGTAGAACATTCTGATAGGACAATGCTCCCTGTATATTTTCTTTCTTTCTCCTCGAGACATGCTTTGTAATCACCTGACATGTTGGCAGAATGTAAGGCACACTTATATTTGACTTTGTTGTGAGTGATGGCAAACGTTGGCTATGATGTAAAAAAAATTAAACAGAGCTCAAGTTCTAATATGCTGCCACAATTCTGTAGTTAAAATCTGATTTTTGAACTGTTTTGCTTGAAGTAGACAATGTATGTATAGGCTCTTACCAGACACACTTTGCCGATTTGAGTCGGCCTCCCCATTACTGGTATTTGAGTTACTGGGAGAGCTGCTGTCCACTCCACCCAGCAGGGGGCGCAGGTGGCTCACAGACACCTGCTCTATGAAGGAGGTCCCATATTTCCTGAAATACCACCACTCAAAGATCTAAGAGAAGGAAAGACAGAGAAAATAAGCAAAATAATCTTTTATTGAACTGTTCACATGACTTTGATTCAATGACGATCAAGAACTTCATATTTCTCTTTTGCACATCATTCTCTTAGAGCAGCACCTATGCTCAGTCTTTACAAAACTTACTTGAGTTCCTTAAACACAGTGGTTCAAACCAGACAATCTGAGTTTTCAACAAAACATGCACATTAAACACCTGACAACAGATATCCAAGAAAACACTTTGTGAACTAAACAGCCTTAGTAGTGCTTGGCTGGTCACTATTCCCTGTCTGCTTTCAACACATCCTTATTATTGTAATGCGAGTGTGAGCTGATTAACACTGTCTGCATCGATGGGTCTCAGCCTTGTGCCACAGAGGCTCAAGAGTGTGATTCTCCAGTATTTTACCAATTACCACCTTCTGCCAGAGAGGAGGAACTAATCAGTGAAACCTGTCCTTTGGTTGGACTGAAAATGTGAAGACAGTTGGGTCATGATGGCAAATGTCTGAGAATTACTCAGATGGAAGAGAGACCACACAGTGATCTGCATGTTAACGTGTCCCTGAGCAACATACTGAACCCTGGACTACTGATGAGCCAGCCAGCGACTTGCATGCTAGCTCCCCTCTCATCAATTATTGTTGTGCTCTGTAAGGGTAAAAGGGCTTTATAAAATAAGTGCAGTCCTTCTACCTGCATGTCAATTCCTTACCCCATGTTTTACCATCTCTCGACTGTTCACACTTGTCAAGCAAAGGCTCACCATTCAACCACAACATTTAAACCACTGCCAGGTGAAGTGTATAACATTTATCATCTAATAACAATGCAATGTTCTGCTGGGAGACCTTGGATCCTGGCATTCATGGGGATGCACAAATTCCTATCTCCATACTCACGGGCTCACCAACGTTCCAACTGTCATACCTATCAGTACTATTATGCACCTTTTCTTTGAGTCTACATATCTTCAAAATTTCCTGAAATACTCAACCAGTTCATATGGAAAGGGTCATGTATATACATTGTTGTCCTGCTCAACACACTATGCACACAAACCACATGTGAATGGTGTAGGAAAGAAATCTACCATGAGGTTTATCTGTCAGAGATAGCATCTGGCTCCTCACAGGCAAACATCTGCAAATCTACAGTTGTTAATGGATTTTTAGCCTCTTGGTAGTTTGCTAAAATGTATAAATACTGTAATGTCACAGATGGAGAGTGACCAAATTTGAGGCTAAATTCACTTTTTTTGTAATGCCGCCATGTTGTTTCCAAGAAATGTGTGTTGTGACAATCGCATGTCCTTCTCCTACTTTTAAAACCATTTCAAGACCTCCAAAAATCACACATTTAGGTACTGTAGCTGTGAATTCAAGCAAGTCTGTGATGATAAATCACTTATGCCTTCAGGTGGAGATGGGGACTGGACTTTGAGAAGTATGATCCACTTACACAATGCTGCTGGATGATGCATCCAACGGCTGCAGGAACAGCTCAAAGAACACAACAAAAAGCCAAAAGGTGTTGACCTGGCCTTCAAATCTCAAAGATGTCAAGCCATTTGAGCATCTACAGGTTGTGTTAAAATGAGCCCAATGCACAGAGGGCCCCCCTTAACCAACAGGTCTCTAAGGATCTGCTGCCAACATCTCAGTGCCTGACATCACTGGACACACCCAAAGAAGTGAAAGTTGCTAAATCAANAGAAATCTACCATGAGGTTTATCTGTCAGAGATAGCATCTGGCTCCTCACAGGCAAACATCTGCAGATCTACAGTTGTTAATGGATTTTTAGCCTTTTGGTAGTTTGCTAAAATGTATAAATACTGTGATGTCACAGATGGCCCCCTTAACCAACAGGTCTCTAAGGATCTGCTGCCAACATCTCAGTGCCTGATACCACTGGACACACCCAAAGAAGTGAAAGTTGCTAAATCAAATCGCCAGAGCAACGGTGGAGTTTATGAAACACAAAGCGAAATAATATATATTTTTTTTTTTTTGATGTTTTAAAAACTCTTCATATATATAAAAAACACTGCCAAGTAGTTCCAGTGGAGCAATTTATACTACTGAGTATAAATTCTGAGTACTACTGAGTATTCATCAGGAAAAAGAACAAAATAAAGGTTATAAAACACACGAATATGAGAAGCATTTACATTTTAAAATATTTTTAGTAGGGTTTTGTTGTTGTTGTTGTTGTTGTTGTTGTAATCAGTAAATGTGAGGCAAACATTTATATTATTAATCAAAGCTGCTTTGCAAGATGTACAGTCTTCCATCTGGACAAACTGTTTTCCTGTCAGCTTCTCCTTGAGGAAGTGATTTCAAATTTTGAGGGGGTTTATCTAGAACTTTACAGTGGAAAACTACCCAACTGGAACATCAATACTAACCCCAACTACAGAGAAATGAACACTATTGCTTCAATGAAACCAATTGGCTTCGACTTTTCTTAATTATTTTACAGAGCATGTGCAAAGCTCAACACCATTTTGAAGCAGCCAACGCATATTGGCCAATAGCCCGCAGGGAAGAGAGTGAGTTAATTAAGAGAGGGGCTATTTTAAACTACAGACCAACCACTGTTGCACAGTTGGCTGTCTCTGTGAAAAACTTGAAAGATAGATACAATTCTTGGAACCACTAGTGTTTAATACACAGCAATAGAGTATTTATATCTTTACCCAGATACCACACAAACCCCCCACTAAACTGTGCTCTCAGTAGTTTTTTACAGCTTATCAAATGAACCAAATGAGTATAGATTGCCTCTCATTCCCACTCGGTGTGGCCTTTTAACCTGAGATTATAGTCCTAACAGACTACATCTTGGGCTCATAAAATATCAGGTGGGCCCACCTCTGAAATTAATTATCTCTCTACAGTGCATCCAAGAAAAACTATTTTCCCAGTATATTTCAAAACTGCAAAACTGGGGGGGGGGGGTGTTAAAAACATTTATCCATCTATTAGTAAGTTGTTCCTCATTTTAATTTTTTTAAATGTATTTATGTATTTATTTTTATAGGATTCTTATATCTAAAATTGAGCCTTGAATACTTTTAGGACTGGTGAGCACAATTAAAGACTTCTATTAATAATCACTGAGACAGTCGTTTTTTTCTCCCTAATTGCTCACCAGTCTTATCCTTACGGAGCACCTAATAGTGTATTTTCTCCTTTTCATTCTACTCCGTTCTTTATTTTTTCCTACATAATCACATAAAAATAGAAAAACAAGTGCATCTTACCAATATGAGTCCTGATATGAGGGAAGAAGTGCCAGTAAGAGCCACGTAGAACTTGGGTGTCAGGGTGTTCAGAAACATGCTTACTGCAGAGGAGACACAAAAAGAATAAAGGCAGACGGTGAGTACTATTAGATTAAAACATCTCTACAACAAAGGGAGACACTTTACAAAACATATATCCATAAAAAATAGGTCGTGTCTACAGAGAAGACTTGTAAAGAGTACAGGAAAAACATCTCGAGATTCAAGAGTATATGTGATTCCAGCACATGAAACGTTTCATGCAGAAACACGTCATCCACATGCAGAGTTTGGCATTTCCCAGAGAGCCCTGCTGCTCAGATGTGAAATTACACAACACCAGGGGACCAGGGTAGGCTTTAACTACAGAGCGAAGATGTACTGTGGTAGAAAATCAGAGAGGAAATTGAGCTTAACTGGAAGCATAAGCGGAAATACAATATTCACAAGCATGTTTCAAAATATTGCCAGTCTCCTGTCTTGAGTGTTGGAAGGAACAACTGTCACTGAGGTGTTTTGGCTGCAATGCTAGTGATTCTATTATGTCTGCAGAATGAAGCAGCAAAACAATGTCAGAGTCCTCCTCTGCCATCTGTTTCGCATTTGTGTTTTCGATTTCACAAACTAAAATCACTGGTAAATGACAAATGATGTTTTAAGCTGTGACCTTTCTATTCATTATCCAGCAGTTGTTTGTTAGTTTAAACTATAACAAAACCAAAGTGTCTTTCTACTGCTGATTTGGATGGCCTGCTTTTATACTGACTTAATACTAGTCACATTAAGCTGGACGCAGGTGAGGAAGTGTGTTCTTTAATAACCTGACTGGCTGCAGAAATCTGCGCTTAAAGGAAAAAATAAGACGTAAGTGGGTAAGATTACATAGCGGGGACAACATATAATGATTTGTTTGAGGAAATTACCTGCTGCATCATAAGCCTGCAGATTACTTGCTGGCTTGTGATACTGATAAAATGGTAACAGGTTAACACTGATGGCTGCTCTAAACAGAAAACCCACAGGTCTGAGCACTGTGTGAAAAACATAAAATAGGTGGTTGAGATAAAACTGCTGAACAGTGGATTGTTAAAAGTTAAGACGAAATAAATCTAATCTAATCACTTCTCATGCTGACTCACTCATTCTCTAGGGAGCCTCACAGTAAAACTATAAAAAAAAAATCTATCTACAAAACACTCCTGAGATTGTAAAAAAAAACAGAAAATCTTTTAACACACTGGTACATTTGAACAATGTTCAGCAAAAAGCAAAAATGTACCATAATTTCTGCTTGTGTCTAGGAGTGATCTAACTCGTCCTCCTACATTTAGCTAAAAGTTGAGGGATTTTCTAAGCTGCTGAGAACGATGATACACTGGCAGACTATTGCATTTTACTGAGAGTTTTGGGTTGCAGTGACGTGTGGCCAGGGGTCATCACGGAAAGAAAAACATATATAATGATAAAATAATTTAAATGGTTATATTTATCCAATGATTTGTACTATAAAGTATTTAGTTTTTTCATTTAGCCTCACCACTTTTGATGAGTTTTTTTTTTTTAAATTCAAAATCTCTTCAAGCATTTGAATGGGAAATTGTGAAAATGCAGAGAAGTTGATGAGGCAGCAGCGAGCTGAGCCTCACCTTGGATTGCGTAATCCCTCGCTACCTACGCTAGCTGCCATGCAGTGACAGCGTACTGCTGTCTGGATGTTGCCAATAAAATGGTTCAAACACATTCAACATATGAACTAATTTTCCATAGTTTAGCTGATGTATATAATTTTGTTACCAACTGTATGTGTGTAACGTGTTTCGTGTGCTGAGCGATCATAAACGGCTGAGAAGAGGTTCTCGGTGAGGCAGGCAGTTCTCTTGCCTCATGGCAGGGGGCGCTCTGATCCCAGACATTCTTCTTGTGACTCTGCAGCTGCAGAGGAAGTGACAGCAAGTTAGACTAGGTACGGTATACAGCTAGCAAGTCAAGTGCAGCGATCCATTTAGTTTTTTCCCTCTCGCCCAGTCTGATTTTCAACAAGGAGGACTACATTTCTAAGCTTAAACAATTTTCTAAAGTGGATTTTCAAAGTAACGGATATTTTTGTGCAGAAGGAGCGGCGCGTGGACTTTGTTTATAAGTAAAGGAAAAAGTTTTTTTTTTTTTTTAATGAAATGTGAGTTTTGTGGGCTACAGCTTGTATGTGTAAAGAATGCAGATATAAAACATAACCCGTAGATTGCTGCCAATTAAATGGCAAATGAGCTCTTCTGTAGAGTGCATATATTTGTAAATCAGATTGTGATGAAGTCAGTGCCTCACCAGCCATGAACCTCACCGCACGTCACTGTTGGGTTGTCATGTTAGTTCCCCACTAGTCACATGGAAGATGGAGAGGAGGACAAAAGGCGCCACTCAGATGAAGCCCAGCCTCATGTGCACACAGGAACACATGCATAAACTGAGTGCAGCTGGACAGCTATTCATTGCAGTGAAGTGGAGGCTCTCGTCTCAGCAGAAAAGAGTCTTTTAGGCAGGCCTGTGGTGACACAAGCCTAACAGCTGCTGTCAACCTGCACTGATGAGAGGATCCTGCTTTCTGGCTGGAATGAACTCTTCATCAAACCAATAATTTTAGCCACAACTGACATATGGTACATTTTCACATAAACGATAAAGCATGGTGTGAGTAATCTACAAGTCATAGATTTAACTTCCAAAACATTAAAGCTTTAAATAAATAATTATTTCTCTCTGTTTTGTATCAACTTGAATTGGAAACCTTGGGGATTGGGATCATGGACACGTCAAAGTTAACATGTTTTTGATGTGTTAAAAGACATACGAGAGAAATAAGCAGTCGACATTGTGGCGAGGAGTAGTTTTATAGTGTTTGAGCAGTCATGGGTAGGAATTGGTATGTGAAGATTTTAAAGCTACTGCTACTCTTACTGATACTTCCTCTTCAACTCCTCACTTTTTTCTTTTAAGTTAGTTTTTGGCCTTTGTGCCTTTATTTGATAGTGCAGTGAGAGAGAGACAGGAGAGTGGGGGGAGGACGTGTGGGAACGGGCCATGAGCGGGATTCGAACTCATGATCTCCACATCAGGACTGTAGCCCTATACATGGGACGTCAGCTCAACCAGGTGAGCTATAGTGGCACCACCTACCTCCTCACTTTTAAGTACAAAATGAATGCAGGACTTTTTCCTTGACAGTTCAAGTGCGACTTCTACCACATTTAATTAGGGGAAGGGTGAAAATTAAGACAGAGTTTGTCTGCAGTCCCCAAATCATTAAACCCCTGTGGCCCTGTGCGCTCTGAAAGTGAAACTGAAATTATGAATGATAGTTTAGATGATGCTCTGAATTTCAGGATAAATTTATAAACATATCCACAGTTATACAAACGGCTGGCAAATGCTTAATTATTTACCCATGTTTTTATAATTTAGTTAACTCCGTGTACAGGCTGCTAGCAAACATAACATACCTGGTTCATGAGGGATAAACTATAAACTCAGCAGTCAAACAGTGCCTTTGTCTGTGCATTCGCCTTTACACTATAGACTGAGTGCTTAGTTGTACTTGTGCCATGTAGTATATATGCCAAGGTCACTGAGACTCGCTCCTGTTTTTACACTGGAGGCAGCAGCTGATCAATCACCAATCCAGCCAGTAAGGGAATAAAAGATTTAAAGCGCCCCAGAATGTATGCATCTTTGAACACCTGAATTTCAGTAAAGGAGAGAAAATCACTTTTCTAGACATTTAGCAGTAAATGCGCCTTTTGGGTATTTTAAAATCAACCTCACTGGATGCAACTAGCCAGGCTTACACCATCTCCATTTTAACCTCTATTTACCTTGCACTGCAGAGGAACATCCTCACATTCATACTGCTCCACACCAGCCACAATTATGAAACTACGACTGAATGTTTTGCAGAAGTAAGACTGAAATCATGCTGGTTCAAACAGTAACAGTGTTCACTTCTCCTGTTGTCATGAAGTAAGCTCTACTCACCCAATAAAGTTGGAGTTGTTGGCCACTTAGCATATTTAGATAGTTAGCAAGTGGCACATCTACTGTCAATCTTGCTCCCACTGCCCCTTCTCTTTTCCCGTCTAATGCACTTTTGTGCTCATGCATGGGACACACTGGAATAGTGTTAGGTGGATCGGTCCAGGCCCCTTTGTTTCTCATTTACAAAGTCTGGGCTGGGCACAAACACCCACACAGCACAGAGAATCCAATTCTGAAAATAAACAGTGATATAGAAGAACCCACCCTGCAAGTTGACAGGATTGGTTCCTTAGGCTTGTTGCATATGAAACCCAAAATTTGTGGTTTTGAGACTGTCATCTTTGCACTGCAGTTTCAAGGTGGAAATGCTCAACCAGTGTTGACTGCCTACAGTGCTGCTCATGATGTGTCTTTGAGCATATAAGTAACACTACATGGACACATTATTTTCACAAGAAGGGGTCTTTAAGTTACATCTTAAAATTGTATTTCTTGTGCAAAACTTAAAAAAATTAATTTAGAATCACATAAAACGAAGAAAAGCTACAAATTAGAAGCTTTTCTTGCTAGTATCTGGATTTTTTGTTTGATAAACAACTTCTACGAGTGATCAAAACTGCAATGATTCAACTAACAAATTGTTTAATCCACTACAGTCTTTGCAAAAGTAGGAGACTATTTCTCTTTCACAAATTTCTTATTGCTGTGCATTGATGCAAACTAGTGACCCTATTTATGCAACAAGTTCCTTTCCCCTTGACCACTCCAATGACTTAATATTGTAAGAAAGCAGCTAGAGAGCAAGGTGGGAGACTAACATGATGAATTGAAGGGACAAATTCTATCAGACAGACTCAAGACTAAATGTCACCAGAGACAACAGGAGATGTGACCTTTGTTGAAGAGGGGACGATGGGCAGACTGCTGGCCTGACTGAAATGATAAAAGGCACACACTGAGACGGACGTGAACACGGACACGTTCAGACATATAATTACACTCATAAACGGATGTTTGCGCACATAGAGATACAGGT